CGAAACTTTAAAAAATCTGAAGAAAAAGACTGAGGGTCGAGTTTGATTTAAACTTTTTTTAAAGTTTAAACTATTTCCATTATCATTCATCTGATGTCTACTTATTTATTCAAATTTTCCTCATTTAAGAAAAAGAAAAGCTCTCCCCAGAGTGAGATGTTGTCCCAATTTAAAGAAATCAAAAGACAAACAGATTGAAGCCAAACTGTAAGGTTGAACAAACTTCACAGTTCTCCAGAGTGCTCTATATTAATAATGAGTTTGGTAAATATCTGGGTTTTCAGGCTGAACCACATTACAGGTTTTACTAAAGGTCAACACATTTGTAAAGCACTTAATCTTTGATCAGGTTAACACTCATCTTTGGCCCACTAATAAATCTGAATCAGTCTTATTTACAGTCCGACTTTGCCGATACCTATTAGTATAAGAAAAACACAAAACACTGGAAGTTTACTGTTTATAGTGAGAGACTGCGTAGCTACTCCATGTGTTCAAACATAACAGCAGTCTTGGAAACAACTGCAGACAAAAAGTACGCTTAGCACTAAAATGTTTATCTGGACACAACAACACATTTTGTTTGATCTAAACTGGATTTATCTTTTTTTTGTTTAATCAAAGAATATATTGCAGAAAACATGTCAATGCTTTTCAAAGTTTTTGGATGACTGAATTTCTTTCTGAATTTTTTCCAAAACTCAGGGTTTGTCCAAGCTTGAAAAACGTTAAACGTTATAATGTGAATGAGTGCTTACGTTGCTTTTGACAAGAAGCGAACACAAACACACAATACATAACAAACTGTTAATCATCAAAGTAAATTGCGTTATTGTAAATTCTCCGTTAAATAATTAAATCTTAAAAAAGGGATTTAAAAAAAAATCATTTGAATTTTTCTAATTATTTATTGCTCAATTGGTTCCCCAACAGACAGCATCGTCTTATTTCTGGTTATATATCTGTATAAATAATACACATTACAGGTTGTCTACATCAACGTTACATAATAAACATCTTTAAACCCTAAACAAATGATGGTCCCTTGGCCTGTTAAAGGTCAGAAATTAAGCGTGACATGAAGAGGTGTGACCTCGGGGCAGACACACAATGGTCACTTCCTCCCTAATTCACCACCTCTCTACACGTTATTGATGGGTTGAATCAGTGTGTGTGTGTGTGTGTGTGTGTGTGTGTGTGTGTGTGTGTGTGTGTGGAGGAGGAGGTCACTCTGTTCAACCTTGACGACCTTTTAAATCCACAAGTTGCTGGACCTTTGACCCCTTTGATTGCTGGCAGGCCTTTGGGATTTCCCATAAAAACACCTGTGACACCATGCTGGTGCTTTTAAAGAGTCCCTCCCTCCTTATATAATTCAAAGAATTCTAATCTGAATGGAAAATCAGAGGAGGACCAAAACCAAGATGTACAAAGGAGAGTGTCCCCTGTTTTTGATTATCTTTATATGAGATTAATCAGATTGTGAATCATAATGCATCAATAAGCACAATTAAATGTTGTCATATACTAAAAATGTATACCAGAGGTCGGGAACTACCAAGGGGTCACCAGACAAAGACTGACGAGGGCTTAAATAATTAAAGCTGTAGGGGGAAAAAAAAAAACATATTTTGTTTTCTGTTTAATTTTTAGGGATTCATCTCAGCTTTATTTTAAAGTATTAATTTGTTCCTGCTCAAGTCAAAATTGGAGATCAGTTGTTACTGGAACTGCCAACAATTTATGATCAACACATCCAACAGCGACACTTCAAAACAACACTGATAACCCGTTTCTCTTTTTCTCTTTTTTAGCATTTATGTTTGTGATCTTCAACTTTTTTTTTTTTTTTTTTTACCATTGATGTACTGTTGCTTTAGTTTGAAGGTCTTCCCCAAGGGCTTAATGAAGTCAATTGTTTTCATGTGAAATGTAAAATTAACTTATTTTTAACATTTGAGCTGTAGGTGCTTTCCAAAGAATCTGAAATTTGATGTGATATGATATTATTCTGGTGGACAGTAAAAAAAATAAAAATTGTCTCAGAAATGTAAAAATCTGGCTTCTCTCTCTCAGCGGCGGTAGAGGTCAAATGTGGGATAAAGAGGCTGTTGACCTGCTGGTTTTCTGAGTTTAACCTCTTGGCATCCTTTTTGATGAGAACACAGAGGTCGCAGATCAGGCAGGAGGGGTCAAGGGGGAAAATCCTCCACAGACAACCAAGACAGGAGGATGAAGTGTGTCGTCCATCTACAGCGGGTTGAGAAAATGTATTTTCCTGCATGTGTGCATTGGTGGCTTCATATCTGAACTTGATGGCTAAAGGTTAAAAAAAACAGCTGACTTTTCCTTTTTGTTACATGATCATGCATTGTTGAGCTCTAAAATGCATAACAAAGAATGCTCAGTTGATCCTCTTTACACAAATGAACATTGTCTGAGTTTTTCCCCCCTCTGTCTAAAAGTCATCGTCTTGCTGGTTTCCAACAAAACAGTCTAGTGGGTGCTTTTTGAACGTTTTGTGAATCATCCTTCAACTCTCCCACACCACTGACAGTTGGGGCGGCGAGCTCGATGAGGAAAACAATATCTTATAGATGACGATATAAAACCCAATCAGTCCAGACGAAAACACAGGCACAAAACATGGCTAGAAATCAGCCATGAGTGTGTCATGGCACGCTGGAGGGTCTGACTTCTTAATTAGACGTCTAAAAAGGCCGGGTCAGACGGAGCAGACAGCGAAAGAAAGGCAGGCGAGATGAGGCCCTTCAAACTGTCTGCGTCACACTGTGTGTGTGTGTGTGTGTGTGTGTGTGTGTGTGTGTGTGTGTGTGTGTGTGTGTGTGTGTGTGTGTGTGTGTGTGTGTGTGTGTGTGTGTGTGTGTGTGTGTGTGTGTGTGTGTGAATAGAGCTGTGAGAAAGTGTGTACCATGTAGTTTGCATGTCTGAGTCCCAGTGCGTGTAGGAATGTGTCTGTCTGGCACATGTGTGCGTTCTTGCAACCATGTGAACATGTTTGAGGTGTGTAGAGAAGCAGTTTCACCTTGAAGACCGAAACAAAGGCAAACATGTTCACCAAGATTATTTTTTATGTGTTAGGGTCATTTTATTTATTTTATTTATATTTTTATCGTCTGAACAAAAATGTGACTCTTCACTTTACCTTGGGTTCTTGTGTTGCCTGGGTTCTTATGATGGTTCTTGTGATGGTCGGGTTATATATGTCTGTTGGGTATCGTGCACTATGGGTTCTTTTCTGTTGAATTGTATTTAATTATTTTTAGTATTTTGCATTTCTTATGTTCTTCTGTGTTTGGTTTAGTTTGTTCTTGTTTTTGCTGTTTGTCAAAGCACTTTGTAAACCTGTGTTTTTAAAAGCTGCTATATAAATAAAGTTATTATTATTATTATTATTACCTGAAGCAATAAATGTGCAACAAAGAGGAAGCAATGTTTAAAAGATTATACCTTTAAAATGATCTATAAAAAATAATGTGTTCACATTAAAAATGTCTATAAATAACTAGAGCTATGTTAAATATTTTGTTGGCTTCAAAACTAGACATATCTTCCACTCGTTTGTCTGTCTTCTCGGGGAAACAAGTTATACTAGTCAATGAGAAACAAAGTGTGCTGACATTGTTTTGTTATGCTAATGCTGCATGGAGCTTTGATTTATTTAGAGTCAAGTCTGATGACTTCCATCAGTGATGGTGGTTGTTTAAAAAATGAACACAACAATTTCCCAATTCCCAAGCAACTTCATCACATCATTAAACTAAACCTTTTGTTTTGATTTATATATCACTAGAAGAAGATAAGGTGTACACTGCATACAGTGCTTCAAGGGCACATATTACTAACTGCTCGCCTGGAACATTTACAGGAAGGCGAGGAATACAAAGGAGAAATGGCCTTTTACCTGCTCTTTTGTAAAGCGTCTCGAGATGAATGAATCGGCGCTATACAAATAACGATTGATTGATTGTCTGGTCATTATAAATTATGATATAAATGTAAGGTTTCATGAAATCACTTTTCCTGAGGTGCTATGGCTGATTTATAGAAATAGGTATTTAGAGCTCTGAACTACACCTATGTCAAATAATGTCAACTATAATTCATCAGTCTCAAAACACACTTGTGCTTTATTTAATAACATACCGTATACTTTATAAGTCCTTATTTTAATCTGTGTAAATATCAAGACAAGTGGTAGTTTAACCTCTGACAACACTTCATACAGGTGCTCAAAATGTACTCTTTTGTTAAAGTGATGAAAACAAGTCCATAAACAATGTGAAACAAACAGCTGAACACAGAGGACTGAAATCCTCCAGCGGGCCCAGGTTGCACAGTGGTTAGTGTGCATGCGCCATATATGGAGGGTGTAGTCCTCCAAACAGGAAGCTCAGGTTCAAATCCGACCTGTGGCTCTTTTCCCGCATGTCATGCCCCACTCTCTCTCTCTCTCCCTGATTTCTGACTATATCCACTGTCATATCTCTCCACAAATCCCAGAAAAAAATCTTTAAAAAAGAAAAGAAATGAATCCTCCAGTAACACTGAGGGTTGATAACCTGCAAAACTAAATTATTTGAATAGAAATGGCTTTAGCATACTTTAAACAGATCTTGGCATTGACAATATTATTCATGAGAAGGATTTGAAAACGTTGCATTGACTGTGAATAGCTGAAATGATTGAAGCACATAAATCAGACTTGTTTTTTTCTTAACGAGCCAACATGATGTGCTTGGTTCTTTCTCACTCTTTTCATCTTCATCTCTTGTCATTTTTGTCTCTAATTTCAACACAGCACCCTCTGCAGGTTGGAAAATATTCCATAATGGCTTCCCATTTTGCATGTGTCTAGCCTCCAGTATGTTTAAGCCACGTTAAGAGGGTATATGGGAGGGTGGGGAATGTGTCTCAATATGTCATTAACGGTGAAAACAAGTCAAAGCCACTTATAATAATCACTTCTTCTAACTCACTCATTGTGGCCTCCGAGCAGACACGTCCCGGTCGATCTGAACTGTGGGTGAGAACCGACTGGGAGCCGTCCATCGCAGCTGCAGTTATTTGTTGTCTGCGGGACATAAGAGGGAGAGGTCAGAGGTCAAATAAGTTCACAGGAACTCAAGGCTTTCACATGTTAATGATTCAGATCAGCACGAGAAAAACACATACATAATATAGAGGTGATTATAACGTTTCAGGACTCTGGTTTGTTGTGTGTGTCACAATCTCACATTTGATTGACATGACTGGTGGACATGAAGGACCTCAGGCCGCCGTATGTTTGAATATTAGAGACGTCCTTCAAATTATCATGAAAATATGGAAATGAGTAAACATGAAAGAGCTTTAAGAAAAAAAATGAAGAATATGAAGAATAAACCAAACATCTTTGTTTTTTCTTTTTATCCATATTGGTCTAAAAGTGTCAATCTAAAAAAAGTTTTCACTGATCCAAAATAATGGTGCCAGTACTGTTCATAACTGAGGTATAAACTTTGATGTTGTTTTGATAGCTTGTATAGTTAGTACTAGCTTTGTTACCACAATGACATAAGATTTTATTTGTCTCGCAGACAACCCTGTCCAAATGTCACCAGAGCACCGGAGGAGACTATGAATTGTAGCAAATGTTTTTGTTTTTTTTTATAATTATTTTAGGTTTTTATATATTATCAAGTCACCTTAGTGTGCTTCTGTACAATGTAAAGGTAGATCTACCTTCAAATTTCTGCTCCACTCTATTTGCAACAACCACATTTTTCATAGAGGATTAACAAGCAGATTTTAGTCATTAAGTTGTAGATTAAACTATACAGTAAGAAATATTTGCTCAAGCATTAAAATGCAGATTACAAATGACTGCACCAGCAAGAACAATCGTCCATTAAAATTATTATTGACCTTTGTTTTGTACATTTTACTTTCAACAGTCTATTTTGCAGGTTTCCTTTAAAGCTCCCGTGAGGTACATTTGGTATGTGTCAATTTTGGTCGCCACCGGTGGACAAAGCAGCATCTTCTCTTTTCTTTTCCTGCACATGTGAACGGAGTGTTTTTCAAAAAAAGATGAAAACATCTTCCTGCTTTCTTTAAACGGTCCAATGTGTCGCTATCATGAACATTTTCTGTGAAAAAAATAATAACTGCAGTTTTCTCACTTCGTCTGATATCCCTAGTGGATTCTAACATTTTTTTTTAAAGATTTTTATGTTTGGGCTTTTTTTATGCCTTTATTTTAGAAATGGGACAGTGGATAGAGTCAGAAATCGGGGCGAGTGAGAGTGGGTAGTGACATGCTGGAAAGGAGCCACAGGTCGGCTTCCGGTTTGCCTTCTTGGAGGACTCTAGCCTCCGTACAAAGGGCGTGCGCACTAACCACTAGGCTACTGGCGCCCTATTGGTTTCTAAACTAAAAAAAAAAAAAAATCAATCTTTATTCTGGTGGTCTTGTTTGTTTTTGAGGGTCCTATTGATTTGAGTCTGTCTCAGCTCCTCATGGAAGTTTTAAGTTAAAGCTGCTGAGGAAAGTCTATGAAATTATAAGGATTGTTTAATGTGACAAAAAATAATCTACAGATGTCCCTTTGGGATCTGGAACTGTGATTAATAAATAATGATTTTATTTTATTTTTTACAGAATTTAAAGACTTTACAAATAAGCAAAAAATAACTCTACACTTTGATCTAAAATGACAAATAACCAGAGTATACTTTATAATCTTTTCTTCTTAACTTTGTTGTAAAAGAGTATTTAACATTAATTGAGTGAATGATTTGAATCTTACCCTCATAGCTGGTGGTATACTGACATGTTCTCATTTGTTGTATTTGACTATTATTGCCTTTAAATAAACTTTTACATATATTTATTAACAGGTTTAACAGAGGAACAACAGGGATATCTTTTCTGTTTCCATTTTCAAACATTAGAAACTATCTAGACCAGATAAAGAGTCAGTGTCCTTATGACACATTTTCATCACAGTGTATTTTAGACTGCAGGAACTTGCATTTTGTCTCATGCTACTTTACTGTCCATGCTAAAAACGATGACCACCATCAGATTTCTGCGATATTCCAACATCATAATAATTCACCCCCCTCCATCACACACTGACTGACACAGACCCACACCTTGGATGTTTCATCAATGGTCACACTGGAGGAACAGCTGTGAGAAGGAGACAGTCTCACATAAGCATGAATGAAACAAAGACTCAACAACAATCCTCAGGAGAAGTTTAATCTCAACGACTGAAACAAGAGGCTGAATATTAAAAAGAGGAGATTCCCATGCAGTCATTTTGTTCTTAACAACTTCAGTTCAGAGCGCCCCCAGCTGGAGCTGAGCAGTACTGCAGCAACTGAAGGGTAACAGCAGCAAGTTCAACATCACCAGATCGCCTGAAGCTGATGTTTCAGCATTTATCCATTCTTTTTTTAAGCACAGATTGTGAATGTGTTTTTACTTTATACATATATATTAAAGAAATAGTTTAGGTGGGGAAAGTTACCAAATAACCTATTTTAAAGTATTACTTATTTTATTACAGTAAAAAAAAACCTGTAATGATGAGAAATTCTGCTTTATCGTTATGTTATGTATTAAAACATTGTTTCTTTAGTTGAGGTGAATCTGAGAATAAGTTTCAGGATTAAAGGTAAAACTGAGAAAAAGAAAAAACGGATTTTACTTTGCACAAAATGATGATACATTTAAAATATTTTATTTCATTGTTACTTCTTCATTTGAATGATGCAGTTGTATCTCATGACTTTAAAATAAATTCATGTGAAACAAAAATGAAAAAAATAAATCAGTCTTTGTTTTATTGTAAATGTTTTTAACAAGAAAAGGCTTTTTGAGATTAAAAATCTCTGTGGCACAGCTGACGGTTAATAAAGATATCAAAGTGTAATGCTATTGTTTAAAGGGATCAGGATACAGGAAGATAACTGAAGAAATGAACATTTTGTTTTGATCAATGCTTTCTGTTCAAGAAAAACATTTTAATTCGCAGAAAGGTCCAAACGGTTTCATGTTTTTATTGATCGTTTCTGAAGTGAGAAAACTCTTCAGTCAGTGATCCCACAAGCTGTTTCCCATGCAGGCCGCGTCCTCCATATTCCCTCTCTGTGGGTTCAAATTATAACCTACTTGGTGTCTCTGTTTTCACACGGCTGCCTGTCAGTCAGTCCTCCCACCCCCAGCGTAAATTGGTGCAGTGTGAAAACAGCCACTCCCCGTGCCCTGTGGCTCTAATTGGCACAGATTAAAGCAGCCATTATACGAGTGGAGCTGATCTGAAAGCTGAGCCGCCGACTGCAGCCAAGCAGCACGCACTTTTTTATCATGCTGGGAAACCGATACACACATACTCACTTTAAACACACAGAGCAGCACTCCTGATACAAAACAGTTCAAACAGTGTAGGTATGAAACTGATACAATGGACTCTGTAAATGTGCTGCATCGCTTTAACATGAGATATCTGTCATGGTGTTATTCAGCACAATGGTGCAATAAGACATTAATTGTAATATCATCTTCCCACAGCAAACACGTCGGATTCATCGTTTCAGTTGAACTACTTTACTGTAGTAGTTTCATGCAAACAAGAAAACAAATCAGATGTTCATGATTTCAGTTATCTATGTATGTTCTGTTCAGTGTAAAATATCGACTCAAATTACTTCAAGGGATCCTCAACGTAACACCTGATAAAAATTACATCTGGGAATTTAAAGTGGACCTGGTGAATTTTGTTGCTTTTGTTTAAGGTAAAAAAACATGAATTTGTTATTGAAAAAACTAAGAAGATGGAAAATAAGTGTCAAATACTCGAAACGAAAATATGATAAGGCGGTGAAAAAGCAGGAAACATATATCTGTTTTTGGGTAAAAAAAAGTTATTGAACTAATTCCTCATTTTTTAACGTCTATGAATTGGAGTTGCAGTGTTAGTGGTTTAAAAATAAATGTTCTGTGTTTCTCTAAAACACAAACGTATTTGTACATTTTGAGCCAAACATCACTCAATTGTTCTCCACATAAATTCCTTGATAAATTAAAAACTATTGAACGGAGCAGATCTTAAGGAAACCCTGAGAGTTTTATGCTGCTCTCCTGCTCTCTGTGAAACGTTGTGGAGAATTTCACATAATCACATTCATAAGAGAAACCCAATTAGAATTATGATTGATCTTCATTTTTCAATTTAATTAATATAAGAGCTTCAAAACTTCAAGAATCTGTTACTCAAAGATGGTTTTGGAGGGAAATTAAAGATGATGTATCAGGTCCATCAAAGTGGTCTTAAAGCAAACACGGACACATAAACTCCTTCAATAAGACCCTGTGTATTGTTAAATAATGACCAGAGGAAGAAGCGGATGCTACTCGGATCCCTTACAAACACAAAACCCCTCGACTAGATTCGACTTCATGAGAGAAAGAAACCACAAAGGTTGTTTGTATCCTGGTGAGCGGCACAGCGGGGTGAAGGGTTGTGGGTAAATCTGAATGCTGAGGTTCCCAGACCATTTGGAGCGACGCCTTTTCAACTTCTCTGCAGCCTTCTGCCTTTTCTTCACGCTGACTCACAGATCTTACCCGAGTCACACAATGTTGTCCAATTATTAGCAATTTATTCTTCCAGAAATCTATTTCCTGTTTCCTTTTGAAATCAGTTCAGGTCGCCTTGCACTGATTCAAACTGTGAGACAAAACTATAATTCTTCAGCTGGTTAGAGACTAATATGGGCCATAGAGAAAACATGTTGATGAGGATGCAGGTTCAGTTTTGAAACCATCAATATGTCTTTACTGAACATTAAAGACCAACAACTTTTATAATAAAATAAAGCTGTGGTATGAAATACAAGGGTAATAAAGTATCCAACAAGTAAAATGTCAAAGTCCCCCTGAATGTGCTTAGCCTCATTTATGTTGCAGGAGTCAAGAGATAGTTGGGATTAGAAGCACAGTGAATAAAAGTCATTGATATACATACATCAAAGTACTTCTCTTGGTCGTCATTCTGTCACTAAATCGCTAGCTGTTGCTTAAAGAACAGTCTTATACAGTAAAGTTCAAATGCAGTGTGTTAGCAGTCAGACAGGCAGGTAGACCATCCAATCAATTTCTCTGAATGAAATGATGTGATGTGACTATATACTGTTGGCCTGAAACCAGCACAGATTGTCTTTTATTCTATTTCAGAGTATAAGATTTATATGTATCTCAGGATATAAACTACAAATAGAAGTAATGAAACATATAACACACATTCTTCTATATAATGTCTCAACCCTACATTTAAATCATGTTGATGTCCATACAAAATGTCAAATATTCAATGCCTCAAGCTTCTTTTTAAAGCCATGATTATAATTCTTTTTTTTTTAAGTTAGTTGGAAAAAAATAATTAATCTTAAGGCAGACTTTGCCGAAATTCCTTTTTGCTGCCCTAGCAACACATTCATATTGATAATAACTCACTCCTTTTCACTCCCCGACTCCTCCCTTCTCTTCCGGCAGTTCACACCAGCGGTCATTTTCGGGTGTCAAGCACCTCGCACTTGGGGTTTGGGGAGGTGGGCCCTCAATTAGTGAGCCACGCGTCCTGCGGAAGAAAGAGGAACTCCACAAGGAGTCCTTAACGACTGGCCTATGTCCCCTCTGCTCTGACCCCGTGACCTTTCGGGTCACAGGCCACAATACGCCCCCATCTGGAGCTGTGTTATCGGCTCTATGACAGAGGGGACGGACAGCAGATCTCTACATTCAGTCTGAGCTGCGTGACGCCATTGAAGGCCTGAGAAAGGGGTAGGGACACATCTCTGAACGTCGCACTGCTCGATGAATTCAACCCACCCTATGATCAGGTCTGATAATGATGATCCATCGTAGATTTGATTGCGCCCGGCCAGAGGGAAGTAAGGTTGCATGAAAGTGCAGCACACCAGGGGAGAAGCTTGTATTTTTGTCCACTGAGCTGCAATAATGTGGATCTGTTTCAGGGTTTATGCATTGCTCACTGAGAAAACGCTGAGAAAAAATAGCTCTACATTTACCTTCATATAAATAAGCCCTCACACGTTTGTTTGAATTAACATTGAAAATTAAATATACTTTTGAATTTTGTTTTCCATAGACTATTATTCTGTGTTTCTTTGTTCCCTTAAAGTTCCTATTTGCTCATTTTTTAAACCCTTCACTCTTAATTTAATTTTCAATCACTCAGTATAGTCTCTGCTTCTCTTAAATGGTTGTCTGATTATATAACCTCATGTATAAGTGTAATTTAATGCATTATTTAGTGATGTATACCTGCATTGGTGCAGGAGTCTCAACAGAAACACCTTTAGGGTAAACTCCTGTTGATCCAAATATTTTAAAAATGTTTCTTTTCTAAATAAAGAATTCATCAAAAAAATGATATATATATATATATTTTTAAAGAATAATTGGTTAATGGTTTTAGCACAAACACAACAGCCTAGATAAATGAAGGGTTAAATCATTCAATCAATCAAGGCTTCAGGCAAGGGTTAAGGTGATGCATTTCTCCTCATGGTGTTTGAACAACTTGACCGTTGTGCTATGTTGGTATATCTTTAAAGTTAAGAAGAAATTAAAGGGATTCAAAGTCGTTGATGACAAAACTCTAAATACAGAAGGATACACATTGGTTTTTTTGGGCCTGCAATGATTTAAACAGGTGTTGCACTGTTTCTAAAATGCATAGCTGTCTCAGGTATATATGGGGTTAGTTAGTTCTACAGCCTACCTCATATGTAGCCTATAGAGGAAAAAAGGGAACCACAGCAGTAACAAAAACATATCCTCCAAAAGCACAGTCACTTAAAAGTGTTTGAGTGTTCACAATGAGCTCTGTCTGTTTCAGGCCTTCCTACTGCAGTAACATTATTAAAGTTAAGTAGGTGATTTTGTTTGGGCCTCAGCTGTGATAACAATTGTTGACTGGTATCGCATCAACATCTTTCTTTCATGCTGTTTCCTGCAGTTCCAGATATGTATCACGGCTCAATGACGCCATCTGGTGGTAGAATACGACTATTGTTATCACAAACAAGAAGCAGAAACAAACCCTGAAAGTTTCATGAGTAAACTATTTACATTTTGAACAGAACAAAATATATAAATAACACGGTAGTTACCGGGGCTCTGTTAATTAAAGTTCGTTATATATTTAAGAGCTAATTCATGAGTTAAATACATGATTTGCAGTGAGAGGCTCCAACAATTCAGAAGCTAGCTCAGGTAAGCAACACACCTGCGACGATTAGCTCACCTGAACTAACCCAACTAACCGACTAAATATGTCCTCATTTACCCTTTGCTTTCTTCTTCATCTTTAAACTTTAAGGTTTATACTGTTGGCAAATTAAACAACACAAAAGCATATGTACAATCATTAACAAACTTACCTTTTTCCAGGTTCCTCTTGTTTTCCCTCAATTTCCTGAATGACGAAAGGCGCACGTTCGCGTTTTCCCTTTTGACACCTGACCTGAGTTTACCTTTCTTAAATGTTTAATCTGATTATAAACCTGTCAAAATGCAGTGAGAAAACCTTTCAAACGACCCAAATACATTGGGTAAATAACCAGTTTGTGTAGTTTAACAAGTTTTAGTGCAATTCAATTTGTAGGCCGAACAGTTTATTGCCCAGACTATATTAAAAAAAATGTATTTTTAGAAACTTAATTTTTATCTATAGGCTATTCACACATGATTATTTATTAATGTATAGATCTAGCTATCACAAGATCAAATATTGCAGTTGCCTTACAAATCCCCCTCCCCAAAAAACCCCCACAAACACAAAGAGAGACCCTCACAATCTAATGCAATGTTCTAGTTCATTTATCCAATATATTTTTTTACCATAGCCTTTTTAAGAGTCATCACTCTCACCCTCTCTTGCACCTAATAAATCAGCTCAAATTCTTCTTTATTTGTTTTTATTTCTCTCTTGAAACATCTTAATCCACACAATCTGTATTAGTGTGATAATAACTCTTCTGTTATTATCATTCATTAGTATCATTTCCTGTTGATCCAAAAAGATGGTTTCTCTTTTGTTGCCAGTGTGTGAGTGAGTCTATGTCCATTGACACATGAAATGATGAACAGACACAGTGCTTGGGGTAAAATAAGAGAACAATTTATTCTTCGCTCTGTTCTACAAAACTTTATTACAACATAAAGCTGACGAACAAAACTGTGTCTGCTGGAAATAAAAGGTTTCTCCTACGAATATGCGGACAGCTATCAGAGGTGTAAAAGCAAATATATATGTACAGTAATTATTGTATGTTCATGTTGAAATTGTGCTTTGGAGTCCTTAGAGTCTTAGATTTAAAACAACGGGGACTTTTGTCTACACCTCAATCACAAAAAAAAAGATTACAAATCTTTGCTGGGTAGAAAAGATGTTGAAAACTTTAGCACCATTTTAAGAAGGTTCTTGATCTAAAAGAACAGGTACCTAGATGAGGATCAGACTCAGTAAGGAGAATCAGACGTTACAGTATTTCTTCTCATGAAAAGGACTCACTTAAAACTTTTTTTTTTAAGGCTGATAGACACTACATCAAACTCGTACAGTCCCAAGACCAAAACACAGTGGGAAATATTCTAAAGGACATTAAAACGAAGAAGCTTTAAACTTCCACAAAAGAAAACAAAGCCTGTCTGTGCACTGAGGCTTCTTCAGTTTGTGTCTCTCTATCTGTGGTTCATGTTGTCCTGTTTGTTCATTGGTAAAAGCCTAAATTCTTGACACCATGTCAAGTTACAACAGCAGAGTTTAAGAAATGAAGACAAGGAAAACATGGCTGTGATTTTAGAACCTGATGTCCCAGTACTGTGGTGCCTCTTTAACAGCTTCACGCTGCTCATCATCAATGGCAGCAAAGTCTCTGCTGGGCTGAGATGTCACCTCGGGGTGCTGTGTTGGACCCCTGGCCTCTAAAATATGAATTGAAAACAGTGTTAAAGAGTGTAATGAAGGAGAAATGTGCATGAGGTTTCATTTTTACATTTACATGTTACTTTGTCAAGATAAAATGCTACACAGTTTTTAGTTGAGCTCACAAATGTCTGTCCTATATTTTTCTCTCTGTAACTGTATTTTATCCCTGCTGCATTCATAACTGTGCTGTATTTACAACCGAACTGTTTTCTTTTTCTCACCCTTTTTATCTTTATCTCTGTTGTTTCTAAAAGCCTCCCGTGGACAGGTGTTGCAAATTAGAATTTTGCTATAAACACTAAGAGCAGTGCATCTGGAACTTGTGCATGGTTAAATGTTACAGCACCAATGTTACTGTATGTCCATGTTAAATAAACAAACAAACAAATAAATAAATAACTGAGCATGTCAGGAGAACACACCATCTCGAGATAACATCATTAAAAATCTATTTTCAGTCTAAAGTGGATCTATGTGGCAGAAAGACATTAGATGCATTAGGCTTTCTAGACTTGTATATAGGATATAATGTTGGTTTTCTTGACCTTTCAATGGGGGTTTTTGACAATGAGAAACATTTAAAATACAGTATGAAAAGACCCAGAAAATGTTAAAGGACCAAGTAAAACATGTTTTATATATTTAGTTCATATGTGACACAGAGTACCTTTAATACAATTTAAAATAAAGGTTTGTTTATCAGAGTTTTTTTTCATATCTTACCGGGGATGCAGAGGATCTGGGGCCTCTCCCACCTGCCTGCAGACAGACACCTGACCACAGGGTTCAGTCTCTGCTGGAAACCCTGAGCGCAGTGATAACGCACAACTGCATTGGTCTCATATCTTTGTCGAAGTTTTCCAAATATGGAGGCGTTTTGAACCTTTGGTGGTGAACCACATGAGGCTGTTAGAAAAGATAAGACATGTCAGCTCAGTTAGTATTCAGTGATGTAATGAGGGGTTCTTGAGAAACTCTAAATGTCAAATCTATACTACTCACAGGTGCTTTTCTTGCAAGTGTATGCAAGGTGATAGTTGCAGGGAACGTCACTCCAGCGTCCGTCATCGTGCCACACCATCACCACGCAGTCCTCACCAGATAGAAAGTAACTGTCTGGCTGCCCTTTGTACCAGTTCTCATACAGCTGAATGGATGGACAGGGGAGATAAAGATTACATTTATAAAAGTAACAACTCCTTTTATATGGAATTACAAAATTGCAAAATTCTAGTTTCAGAGTTTGTGTGCAAAGTGTATCCACATAACACAACTTTCCACAAATAATGATAATTATGATTGAATATTGAACTCTATGAAAGGTATACAAGGTAAGGGAAAACAGCTGAAGAAGAGATCTTCACTTTTAGTCCCAAGTATGGGTCCAGCTTAGGAATCTTATCGCCTTCACACAACTTGATGGTAAATGATAAATGGACTATATAGAGCTTCTCTAGTTTTCTGACTACTCAAAGCTCTTTTACACAGCAGGTCACACCTACACATTCACACCCTGATGGTAGTGATCTCTATGTAGTATCATCCATCAGAAGTAACTAATCCCATTCATACACCACCAATGAAGCAGAGGGAGCAATTCAGGGTTAAGTGTCTTGCCCAAGGACACATTGCACATGTTGCCCAGCTGGGGATTGAACCCTTAACCTTCCAGTTGAGAGGCAATGACTCTACCAACTGAGCCACTGATAAGGTCTCAATAGAGCTAACTCTTGGAGTTTTTTCTTGTTGCTTTTTTTTGCAATCATTAAACTATTTCACGAACAGTTAACTAATCTTGACGTGTAAAATAAGTTGAACTCCCCCAATAAAAATTCCTTGATGATAAAGGTGTTTGGATTAGTTAATGAATTTAAAGTCTTTTATAATATTCCTCACCAGTGGGTTCCCATCAGACCAGCGGAAATCATCCTCAATAGTTTTATCATTTAAACCCGTCCACTGGTATTCTTTGTAGTTGCCTGGCAAGAAATATAAGTAAAATGGATTCTGTGATTAAGAGCCTTTCTCTGCATACAGCACTCATAGTAGAGAATGAATCATCATGGTGATCAGAACCCACTGTTTATGAAACTCTGCTCCTCAGGGGTCATGATGGACACCAGGTGAGCTCCCAGCATGCGACAGTGCTGCTCCGCCACCTCCCAGCTCAGACGCTGGCTGAAGTGTCGGTAACAGAAACCGTGGAACTTATCCCAGGCTGGTTCACACTGCTCCTCGTCTGTAGAACATCACAAAGCAGAGAAAGAGACAAGGCAAACAAGCATCTTAAATATGTTTAGAGTCATGTTGTTATGCTGCAGCCCTTACTTACATTTACCCTTTGTTTATCTGGCAACCAAATGAAACCAGCTTTTCCAACTTGTTTGACAGAAATGACAACAGACAGAGAGCTTACCAGTCTGACAGAAGTCTCCTCCGTATGTTGGCAAACAGAGACACTGAATCTGCCCACCTCGCTCAGTGCAGGTTCCTCCATTGAGACAGGGCTCTCCCACGCAGGCGTCTGAAATCAAAGAAAGGCCAACTCAGATTATCATTCTGCCTGAATCACTTGAGAGGGAACAGTCTCTGTGTATAACCAAGTATGTTAAAAAAATAATTAATTAATATACTGTGACATATTGCAGTATACGTCCTGTTGAAGCTGCACTATGCATGTAAACCAACAGAGGGCGACAGAGAGCAAATGCAAACTCATCAGGACATCTTCTGTCTTGTCCAGTTTTACTCCACATTTTATTTCTTGTTTGTTATCTGTCTTCTCCTTCTTTTTGTTCTTACACTCTTTAATAATCATTAAGTTTTCAAATTTAACTTAAATTCCAATTGTTATTTTCTTTGCGTGACTGGGTTGTACTTTTTCAAATACATTTATTTCTGGTATAAAGTATAACTCTTCCGTCAGGGGATCAATCCCAAGTCTTCCTCACAGCAGGTGGAGAAACCAACCACTATACCAACAAGACCATGAGATACATTTCTACACTCCACCCATGTAGTAATGTAATTTACAGAAGTTTAGGGCTATATTTAAGTCAACTCTGCTGAAGTGATTTACAGTAAATGAAACTTTGTAATTGGTGTTAGCAGTATTAGAACATTATACTTGGAGAAAAGATTGATTTTCTGTCATTTGAATACTTCAACCTCTGCAAACCATCTGTTTCTCTGCAAGGGAGAAAGCAATTGTTCAATTTGGTCATTAGACATTGAAACACCAGGCCAAGCATGTCAAAAAACAGACACATATACAAAGTGTTATTGAAAGGCACTAGTATTGATCTTTCCTGTAAAAAAAAAATATGATTATGATGAAATCAGTGACTCATCCAGATATTTACACGGGCTGCTCCATTACTCACATAGCTTCTGCGGTTTCACACTTGCACCTGTTTTCTGGCAACATTTTTTAAAAGCATTGTAGGGAGTGTGTGGCAGCTCAGGTTGCAGTTTAAGTCATCCTCCATCAAAATTGTTTATTACTTCTACAAGGCTACTGCAATGTCGTGTTCACCTGAGCATAGAAGCAAAAACTGTTCCAGTAATTTGTCAGGAAGTTGACATTCCTTAAGATCAGAGATTGGTGTGTCAGTTGAATTTTTTCTAAATTTGTAGATGAAAAAAAAGGAAAGGGAGACACATGTGTCTAAACTAAAATTAAACATTTACAAGGTGATTTGGTTTATTTGTTTCCCTTTGACACCCTATAAACACAAACTTTGTGGTGTCTGTCATTACACTGCACACTCACACACTTCTTCAGAGATTTTTGTTTGTGTCAGAGTGTGTGTGTGAAAGGTAATCACTGTGTTACAAAAGACAGTCGAATGAGAACTATAAAGAAAAAGCACTAGTGTGGTTTGACCCTTGATGGGATCACTACAATAAAGCATTTTGACCACCTAAATTTAACTTTTATCAACTTTTTTCTCAGCACACAAAAGCACACAACAATATCTTGTTGATGTTGTTGAGCTGTTGTTTTGCATGCTTTGTACTTTATATATCTTTATTTTTATCTTTATTTGTATTTTCTATTTTTTTTATACTTTGGTGCAAACCAAACTATCACAGTTTGCACCGTTGTTCGCACAGAAACAACTTTTCGATTTGGCAAACGTTGACATGGAAGACGACTTTGACTTGCCCTGTAGGTTACAATGAGTGGTTAGTCATTCAGAGAAGTCATTGATTGTTGGCTTTCCAGATGTGGTTCTCTGTCTTTCTCTTCAGCTGCTGAGTCTCCACTCCATTACCATGAACCATTACATACACATTGCTGCTCACCAAATTCAGGCTAAAAGTAATTGCATGCTCCAATCTGTGCAATACTCTTTTGTTGAGGCAATATTTTCAATGCTTAAAAAAAGGGGAAATAATGATAAATGAGAGTATTTGTAAAGAAGAAAGTATTACCAGGAAAGACAAATCTGTTTTGTGATACGGTAAACTTGAACCCATCAAGGGCAATTACCGGATTTTAATCTAGAGTTTTGACAACATCTTCTTTGAAAGACTCATATTCTATGGAGACTATTTTCTTCAGTGAAACACGATGGAACTTTCTGCATAATAATATTAAAGAAAATCTTGATGAATTTCTTAATATATGAAAATGAATGGCGTCATTTGAACTAATGAAATGAAAATTGGACTTACCGTGACCCTTTTTTAAAATCACATCTAACTTTCTTATTTTGACAGGCTGTATGATATAAAACGTGTCTCCCATTACTCTCTCTGCAGCGGCCCTTCATTTAGCTAAACTAAAACATTTCATAATGAAATAAAACCAAACAATAACAAAGGCATCAACTGATGATGAGACAAAACACATGATAGATTAGTTGACTTTATCATTCCTCTTAAAACACAGAATGGTACAAACCTTGCGAGATAACGATTAAAACAATTGAACATGGCATTTATAACCTATGAAGGACATTTAAAATTTACTTTTAAATGCTTCCATCAACAATAAATCAACACTGAACAACAAGTGTGCTCATGAACATAAAAACACTGTGCTTCTGGTGCTAGATCGTCTCAAATAGTCTGAAAACATGAGAACAGATTCAACTCTTGCCAACCTGACATTTATAGATTAATTATACAACTGTTAGTTCTGACCCAGTCATCTGATTGGACAAGAGGCATTCAAATTTTTAACCTAATGTTTCACTCCACTCGGTGTTCTTATTGTTAGTAATTAAACCAAAACTGCTGTTGCACCCATTATTTCATACCAAAATCAACTACAGGTATGTTTAGATCAGGTTTATCCTAGATTTCTTCAAAAGACACAGTGAGGGAAACAACCTGCACTTGTTTGGTGCAGAAATTAGCTGATAATGAGTTTACCGTAATGAGTATACCAAACCATTACTCTCGCAGAAAATTGCCAAATTCACACACTCATTCATAAACATACCAGTATATATCAGTACTTCACAGAAGTCAGTCTTTGGATGAGTAAGAAAACATCATGCATGACAAAAGTGGGCTGTAGACAAATGTCAAATGGGAGCTGTCTCTGATTGAGAATCTTGAGGGGGGAGGTGGAGTCACAAGGAGAGAAGTGGGGAAGCGGAAGAGGTCAGAAGTGTGAGTGGGCTTTTTGAGACAACAAAGTGAAACAAACATGGGAAGTCATTTGAAAAGGAGGGGGAGGTGTTTAAAAAGAAAATTGAGCAGAGGCAGGTTGGGGCAGAGGACAGACCGGGGAGTTTAGTGCACTGTCGCATCAAGTAGCAGGAGGAGGACAGTTAGGCTGATAAAAGTGGCTTTAACATTACCTGAAGCTTTCCCTGTGCCGCCTACAGCTGCCCTCTCATTGGGCAATATAAGCAGGGTGGGTGGCTGGGTGAGACTAAACTCAACATCCACCAGACCTTGATCCACTGGTGGCATGAAGGCTGTCACCACTGGGGGCTCAGGCGTCTTGTGGGTAACCTTCTGTCTTGAGGTGGTCGGGCTCCAGGAGCGGCTGGACCAGGGTGTCGTGGTCTTAATCGTGGAAGGATTTTTCTTTGTGCTAGCAGAAGTGGGTTTTGTACTCGAGGAGGAACTCAGAGATGTTGTGGAGGTAAGGGTCGGGGATTTTCTGCTGTACTCTAGATCGTTCATGGACTCTTGGGGTCCAGTAGTGGTGGTCAACAGAGCCCAGTTTGATGTTTGTGATTCGAGAGGAAAAACAGTAAAGTCCTCTTCAAATGTAGGGGCGATGCTAGCTTCTTCTTCTTCAAGAGTTGGGACAATGTTAGTTCCCTCTTCAGTTTGGGCACTGTTAGCTTCGCCTTCATTTGGTTTGGAAAAGTTAGATTCCTCTTCAGGACTTGTGGTACCATGACCTTCTTCATCAAATGTTTGTGTAACATTGGCTTCTTCTTCAAGAGCGGGAGGAATGTTAGCTTCCTCACCAAAGTTTTTGGCAACCATAACTTCTTCTTCAGGGGTTGGGACAATGTTAGCTTCTCCTTCAGGGGCAAGGGTTAGGGACAATTCACCTTCTTCTTCAGGGGTAATGCTAGCTTCTTCTTCAGGGGTTGGGGTAATGCTAGCTTCTTCTTCAGGGGCAAGGGTTAGGGACAATTCACCTTCTTCTTCAGGGGTAATGCTAGCTTCTTCAGGGGTTGGGGTAATGCTAGCTTCTTCTTCAGGGGCAAGGGTTAGGGACAATTCACCTTCTTCTTCAGGGGTTGGGGTAATGCTAGCTTCTTCTTCAGGGGCAAGGGATGGGGACACTTCAACTTTTCCCTCAAGTGTCGGGGCAATGCTACTTTCCTCCTCAAGTGTTAGGGTGATGTTAGCTTCTTCCACGATTTGGGTAACGTTCCCTTCTTTGTCTTGTAGAGAGAAGACTTGCGCTTTCTCTTCAAGAGTTGCATCAACCTTTGTTTCTTCTTCTTCGAGATTTGGACTAACTGTTACATCCTCTTCTTTCATTGGAGAAATTCTGATGTCTTCTCCAAGGATTGAAGTGATTATACCAGGTTCATTTCCACTTGCCTCTTCATACCTGTTGGTCATATCCAAAAACACTCTGTAACCTGACGTCTGATACAGCGCTGTGGGTTGTTCAGTGGGCAACTGAGATGTGTTTGAGCTCTCTGGGGTCTCAATAGTTGCTAAAATTACTCCAGAGAGGAGGCCGTCCTCAGACTTAGTTGGGTGCAGTTTTTCTTCACTTTCCATAGTGGCTGCATCTTCGATTTCTAAGCTTGTACTTCCTTCCTGCCTAAAAATAGAAGACTCCCAGAGCTGTGATGCTGTGGAGAGGCCCATGTTGTCTGAATGATGTGACCCAGGTGAGACTGTTGGATCAGACAGTGTTGTGTGAGGCTCTGCAGAAGCACCGCTAGAAGATACAGAACTTGTCAAATTAGCTGTTGAGCCAGAAGTGGATGTGGGACTTAACGCTGCTTCGACGTCAACGTCACTCTCTAAAAAGACATAAAATGAGATTATTAGAATATTAGTTAGTTTTAGGAAAAATGTGCTAAAAGTTGGATCAGCACACAATTACACCCCATGTTATGAATCTTTTGTTAGCAGCTTATCAGCTTTCAAAGACTGAAAACAAGGAAAAAGCTAGCCTTTTGAAAGAGACTGCTAACTAGTGTTTAATAGCTACTGGACTAGAAAAGGAAACAAAACAACTAACCCAAAAACAATTTAGACTTAATCTCATTTTTATCAGTACAACAACTGAATTCATTTTCATTTTTTTTTCATTTTCATTTCATTTTCATTTTTTTCATTTTTTTTTAAACCAGTAAGAATGTTAAGTTAAATCCTTGATGTATAAATCTCTTCCTATTCTTATTTTTTATATTTTAAGTGCTTATTTATGTATCTATTCTTATATTGTTTTATTTGCTTTGATAACCTGCTGCTGTAACACCACAATTTCCCAGTTTGGGATCAGTAAAGTAATTCTATTCTATTCTATTCTATACCAGATGAGAAATTATGTTTTGACAAGCTTATTGACCATTTTCATATAGCAGCCATTTCCTTTTGGTGTCAAACTCATGATGGGGGGGCTTCAAACGCTGTAATTATATGATACTGCTGTGCTCCAGTTTGTCACATAAATTAAGGTTATCTGACATCTGATCTTGATTGATTACCAAGTAAAATGACAATGAAAAGAGACGAGCAGAGGAGAAATATGTGATTGCCAGATGAGCTTAGATTATACAAACCTACACACTGGAACACAGCAGTGCCACATTATAACGTCATTAGGCCTCATGCACTGAAACATGATGTGAGAGGAAACATGGCCTCCATGTGAACATGGTAAATGCTCCGGACAAGTCTACACTGGTTGCTCAACTTCTCAGTGACAAACATGACTACCCTACTCCCTACTCCCAGCCAAGAAGTTATTGCCACAAAGCACATCTTTTAGTTATACTTTTTGCATCTTTTTTTATCAAACAAAATCTAACATTTTACTCTTTAAGTTTAAACCGTTCTCCTTCTTTCTGCTAAGCCAAGCTAATCTAACCAACTGCTGGTTACAGCGTCGTATTTATCATTCTTCACAAGACTACAGTGCATCATCTTATCTTATCTTTTGGCAATAACTTATTTTCCAAAATGTGGAATCATTTTTTAAGAAATTAACGTTTGTTCTTTTGTTCACATGCATATTTAAATGTATGCTTTCCGTACCTTGAGAAAAATCTCCTGACCCATCCAGATTCACCCACAATGAAGGGAAGTCCTGCATGGAAGATCGTGTTGTTTGTGCTCGTTGTGTAACAACTTCTTCTTCTCCTCTTGAAGCCTGAGTTGAGTCAGATACCTGTACAGCATCTTCTACTGCTGCCTCCTGCAGCTCCACCTGAACCATGGGCTCAAGGGTCATTAGAGTCACCTCCCAGAGACTCTCCTCCTCGTCAGTACGGTTGCTGTCAGTGTCGCTGTAATTGGCATGCGTTTTGTCAAAATTCCTGAAGGCATCGCGTATTTCCTGGGAATCTAGTTGTCTCTCCGATGGTGTTGTGCTCTCTTCAGAAGCCTCGCCTGAGACCGTCTGGTTTTGTTCAAATGATAGTACAGGAAACCCTGTGGTGCTTTCTGGCTCAGGTTGGTTAAAGGTCAAATTGAACTTGTTTTGAGAATCAGTCTCATTGAAAACACTAGGTAGTAATGATGCGTTTTGTGCTGAATCATAGGTTTCTGTTGTGCTGATAGTGATGTTCATCGGTTCGGTAGAACGCTGGGAGTCATGGCTCATTTCAGTAGGAAAAACAGTTTCATTAAATCCCGGAAGGAGGTCCATTGTAGGTGTGTTGTTAAAGGGAGGCTCTGTTGTGTCTGATAGTTCTGTTGGTTGTGTGTGGATAAGGTTGTCCTCTGGGGAAGCGCTGGAGAAAAGGGGAGAAGATTCAAGCACCCCTTGTGCTTTAAGTTCCACCTGTTCACCATTGTTGTTCAGTTTGAGCTCTTGATCTGTTTCCATTAATATAACAACATCTTGGCCGATGTCTTCTGGCTCTGTGGCCACATAGTCCCGGGGAGAGTCGGTATGATCATTTGTGCTCTCTGCAGAGGACAGATAAGGGATTGAAATTTAGATAAGAAATAAAACATTTCTATTGCTTTCTCTTTCTGTATTTTCTTGAAAACTTCCTTAAAGGCTTTATATATGATTTTTTGATCCAGCAGATGTCGCCCTTGAGCACCAGCATGAAACCAAAACAACTTGCGCTGCATTGTTGTGTTAGCATGCTAATGCTAGCGATCTTTATTATGCTCGTATCTTCACACTGCATGTAAATCTACCTGAAATGAGCGTGATCTAGAAACACAGTTAAGCAGTGAGTACAGCATGTTATTCTTCTTTTCTCTAGTCCCTCAATTAAACAACTTTTATACACGAGGGGAAGAGCCAGCTGGTCGTCCGGGCGATGTAAACAAAGTGAAGATAGGACTCTGAAAACTCTGAAAACATCACAGACAGTGGGACTCGGGTGTTACACCCATTGTAGACAGTCATGACTCACAGAGTTATTTTCAGAGGATATACTTGATTTCTATTACATTGAAGTGTGAAAAATCACATAAAGCCTTTAAGGTTTAATTGAATACATATTGATGTATTTTAACTAACACATATATTTCTAAAGCTCTACTTTTTTCTGAACAACAGGTGACAGCGTAATATCCTTACACTCACCTCTGAAACAATAAACGTCATGAAGGCTGGAGGGCTCTGGGAAGCCAGTTTGGTTGATAAAGCGATACAGGGTTTTGACGCCTGCTAATGGCCCTCCACAGCGCTCTCTAGGGGTCATTATGGGGTAGCGCACGCTGCCGTCTGACAGCCAGCCGGGGCTGCAGTAATCCAGACCTTCACTCCAAGCAGAGTACAGCTGTGCAGTTGTAGCCAGCTGTGCACCTGCTGCTCTGCAGTAAGACTGTGCTTCAGCAAACGACAACTGTTGTGGGATGGGGTCATGAAACACCTCCCCTAAAAACAGAAAACATTTTCAGTTTCATCTTAGATATAAATATAGTCCAATTTATAGATTAGCTTGAAGATATTACAGACTGGGCCAATACTAGCTCAACACAGATGTATCCATTAAAGTGGCTAACATGTTAGCTGATTGTATCATTTAGAGACACCATTATACAGATTGTGCACTAGAGGGGGAAAAAAAATGTACTTGGTACCTATTTTTTCCATTACAAAAACAGGCAAATTTAAGATAATCTAATGAAATGTTTCATAATTACAATAAATACCTGTAATAACTTTTGATTTGAAGCTCTTAAAATTGTTTACCTGAAACCTACAAAAGGAAGAACTTCAGTAAGACATTATTGTTCTCACCGTCAAGTTCTTCCACATAACAGTAAACATCATATAAATCATCTGGATCCATTGTCCCATAGTTCCTCACTCCTGGTTGGCCGTCCATGTCTCCATAACAACCCTCACGCGGAACTTGGATTGGGTACCTGCAAAAAACAGAAACAAAATCCTGGAATATTTCACCTGTTTGTAAACTGTGTAAAACTAATACTGTACTTTCCAGAGCTACACTTCAGGCTAAAATGTTCATAGAGGGTTAGAAAATACATCCTGTATTATCTTATTAGACACAGAGATGAAACGATTAAAATAAAGATTTGAATCTTTCCTAATTTACAGCAGGGCTGGCTCTTGCTATTTTTGCGCCCTAGGCGAGGTTATTATTATTCATAAGCATGCTCCTGACTTCAGTGTGAGAAAGCCAGGACATTCAAGCTACACAGGGACAGTCCCCTGCCGGGATTCAAACCCTGGTTCTCATTGTGAGTGGATAAGGCTAACCCCCACGCCTTGAATTTAGGATTTCACACTTTACCATCAGTATGGAAATTCAAAAGAGCGGTCCAGATATCAGTGGAAGAAAGCCAGGACATCCAAGCTTCACAGAGAAAGGCCCTGCCAGAGATGAGAACCCTGAACCTTCTTGGTGGGAGGTGGCAGTCCTAACCACCACACCACTGACCCTACCTTGCAGTGCTTGCCAGCTTTGTTTTTTTTTTTTACACTTTCCCATCAGAATGCATCAAAAGCATGGTCTAGATCAATGGTTCTCAACTGGTCTAGCCACAGGACCCATCACCCACTCCTTAATCAGAAATCGTGACCCAAGTTTCAGATATATTTCAACCAATGAGATTTGTTTTATGAACATTTTTGCAGTCTGGACGTCAGACGGTACAAAACATATGAAGAACAAAGAGATGAAACAAAACAAACATGTTTTTAAAACTTTTTAGACTATTTGACCAATTTTTTCCCAGGCACACTTACTTTCGCGACCCACTGAAAACGACTCCACGACCCACTTTTGGGCCACCAGTTGAGAACAATTGGTCTAGATAACAGTGAGGGGGTGTGGTCCAGACGACTGTGGGAGAAAGCCAGATCACCCAACCTACACAGGGATACGCCCTACAGCAAGATGTTCTGGAGATATGAACCCTGAACAACATCTTGCTGTAGGGCTAAATCCTTACCCCTCCACCACTGTCCTTTCCTGCTGGCTTACTGCTGCTTACTGCTGGAACAGGTGTATCACCTCATTGTTCATCATAATGATCACTCAATGATCAAAGTTTATCATCAGCACAAACTTAAAATGCAGCTAAATAAGATCAACAATAGTCATCTAATCATAAATTTCCCACATATATTTATATGACAGTGAAGTGTTTAATGGTTACAGGGATTCTCAAAAACTAATAATCTTAGAAACATCAGACTATAAATGATCAGATTTTTACTGAGTTTCCATCCAACTATGCTTATATTTACCATTAGACAACATACAGAACTCCATTCAAAATGTTTAAGGTTAAAAACAGAGCGCCTTCAGAAAGCTCTCACCTATATAGCCTATGCCTTGAGGCAGCCCTGAATACAATAATTTTAACTTAAAACAAGCTGATACAGGAAGGATGAGATACCTGACGGACTGGTCTGCCAGCCAGCCTGCGTCACACTGCTCGTAGCCGTCATAGTAGGCCGCCAGCAGCTGGTCAGGAGTGGCGATTTGAGCCCCGATGGCCTCACAAGCCATCTGGGCTTGATGAAAGGAGAATGCATAGCGTCCCAGAGCGTCTCTATAGTGGAAAACAACACCTAAACAAACAAATGTGCACAAAAAACACATGTTAGCATAAATGTATATTTCTATTATAAAAAACACAAAATAACTTTAAACAAATAAGAAATCTTCTTCAGAACTTCAGATATGGTTCACATCTTTCATTTGGTTACCTTTGACCTTAAGTTGTACGAGGTCGCTGGCATCCTCGAGGCCCTGCTGCACCTCGCAGCGATAGTGACCCGTGTCGCTGGAGCGTAAATCTCCCAGCCACAGAGACAGATCATCGGGGGAGGAGGTGTAGTTAAGCCAGGCAGCGCGGTCTCTGTACGCCTCGTTGACTTTTATCCTTTGACCCCGCGCCACCAGGATCTGCGTCTCCACCCCGCCGGACACCACCGTCCACTTTACCCGTGGTGCAACGGGGGAAGAAGATGAGGAGGAGGTGGTGGGAGTGGAGGACAGGGACACCAGGCAGGGGATGGAGATGGAGCTGCCCAGTGGGGCGGAGATCAGACCTGAGTGGGGAATTGTCACCTGGAGCTGCTGCACATCGTCTGCAGAAAAGAAAGAAGAAGAGAGTGGATATTTGCTCGTTTTAGTGACTCACTTTGAATGCACCTTTACTGATCACTGAATGTAAGTGAATACTGAAAGAGAGAGAAAACACTGACATACCAAATGCAGATGGAGTTTGGGTGGGGAAGGCCAGAGTGAGGCGACAGACTGCTATGAGAAATGGAAGTATTTGGACTTGTCTGTGGAGATAAAGAGAAAAAAGATTAATAAAGCCTTCCTAATGTTAAGTCAAGGGAACGAGAGGTCAAAGGTTATTTCATCTCCTAAAAATGTCCAATTTCACACATGTTTAACCTTTAATAGGCAGGACAACTTCTGGTACTGGAGGTCATGTATTGTGTTGGCTCAGCTGGTCATGTGACATACTCCAATGATAGCACCACACTGATTTATCGTTGTATTAAAGGTCACAACTGGAACACCTTTGTGTTACCATAGCTACAACATTCACCCGCAGTGGTTACAGTTTTGCACATTTATCCAGAAACAGACATTACCATGTATTGTTCTGATCTTTAGGCACCTAAAATTTGTCATTGATATTATCTTCATACCTTTAAATACATGTTGTACTTTAAAGAGCTGATTTTACAACACAAATATTTTAAATTAGTTTTTGTGAGCTTTTGCACATATTAAAACATCAAGCATGAACAAAAACAAATGGATTCAGATCTAAAGGAGAAGAATGACACGCCTTGTAAGAAAGAGCAAACGAGTTCACCAAAACATGCCTGTGGGAGAAGCTATTATTAGAACACGATAAGAGTCCAAAGCCATGCAGTCGCAGCAGTGCTTTGAAATAAATGCTAACCATCTTAGGCTAGAAGGCAAAGAAATGCTAGTTCAAACTGAGCAACACATGAGTGTCTATGCCAAATTTAAGGGAAATCCATTCAAAAGTTGTTGAGGATCTCCAGGATCTCCAAAGTGTCAAGAATTGCCTGTTCAAAATGTCATTGCAGACCATCCAATAGTTATTTAGATGTTTTAGTCTGGGCTTTAAAAAAAAAAAAAAGATAACACTTTGCATAGTGAATAAAAACAGAAAACAGTGTTTTATATTTAGAGTACTGCCTCTGAGAAGTGTTATTTATTCTATTTGTACATTTGACAGGGAATGATTCTCATTCATCAACAGAAAAAAATAACTACAAATGAGCCAAAAGTAGTACACGTCTTTCAGATTTTTTTCAGATGTCAAAATGTCAACCTTAAAAACAGATCAAACAGACACGTTAGGATTAAACAGCCTATCAAAATATATCTCCAAGCATTATCTTTTAGAATGCAACATCACTAGAAACTAACCCTCCTAAGAGAAAAAAGTAAAACATGTAAAACACTCTACACACAAAGTCCCATGAGACACTGAGCATGTATCTAAAAGCTCGATAGTGAAGCATAAAAGAGCAGCTTCTCTGGTTTTCTGGAGGGAAGCAGGGCGCACAGACTCCTGACCACAAACCATTCATCACCTCCGGGAGCTAATGACACAGCGTCTCAGACCCACGGCGTCCTGCCAGCTCCCCATCACCAGCCTGGCCCTGTCATTAACCCAGCAGGCATGGCAGCGCTCACAGTGACCTCACACAACCTCCTGACGAGGCCATGATGAAGCTGCAAATGTTCATTCATTATTCAAAAGCAGTGCTACAGATCCTAATTACTTTTCAGGACTGATGAAGTGCCTGTAGAATTCAATATTTTTTAGACAAGTATTGCGTTTATTCACAGACTTTAATGGTTCCCAAAAAAAGCAGTTTTGAATGTCGTTTTTAAAACAATCGCAGCCTTGTACAGTTTGACACTTTTTATAGTTTTACACAGAAACTCCAAGTTAGGGAATATTGTGAAAATTTGGGAATAAATTCCTTACCAACTAATTTCTACACCAATGTGTTTCTAAAGGTGTCTAGTTACACATATAAAAATATTTAAATTCAACTACTGTAGGAAAATCCGTGAGAGCTGTTGAAACTTCGGGTACCTGGAACCTTATTGGTTGAAAATTTGATTTTTTTTTTTTTTTTACATGTGCCTTAAATAGCATATAGGGGTCAAATAAGGGGTTATTTGGGATGCTGAATCCATTACAAGCATTTATTTTGCACCAAAACCACTCCTTGGTAGAGAGACGGCCACGCCCACTTTTCCAGCTCTTTTGAAAACCCTTTGTTTAGGTGAAAATCAATGTTGCTTGTTGCATGTGAATTATAAAGTATCTTCATAGGTCTATTTATAAATGTATTAGTGATGGCAACTTTAACATTTGTAACAAGTGAGTGAGTTTTGAGTGGCAGGTACCAGACGTACTCAAGCCATTCTGTGGATCATGGACAGTGTTGTGGATTTTTCTGTTGGTAATGAAAGATCTCAAGTCAAAGTCTTTTGTCTTTGTGTATTTTATTGCATATAGTAAAGAGTTCTTTTGCAGAAGGGGTAATCAGCTACAAAAGTAACATCAGTCACAAGTGCATCAAAGATTCCCGGGGCAGTCCCGGGTGCAGAGCATATTTATAATTTCAGAGGGTGTAGGTATATTACATACACATGAGTAATACATCGTCATTGGTTTCAGCTTGCCCTAGTGACTGCGCCTTCTACTAGTTTGCCTGATGATTTATCGATGCAAGCTTCTTTCTATAAGGTACCTGGTACGGAGGAACACCAACAGAAACTCCTTTGTCAGGAGGGCACTGATTTAGGATCATGCTGTACTCAGATAATGAGGAGAGTTCCTGTTGGAGATACAGACCAAGGCCATACAGAGAAACAGTTTTTAATTGCTAAATGACGCACAAACATCTAAATCTTTTAAGTTCAAACCAGAGCCGGCCCTAACCATTTTGGTGCCCTAGGCAAGAGTCCAGCGGTTGCCCCTTAAATTGCAGCCACTTTGACCACCAAAGACAATATTCATCCACTTAAGAAAACTGGCATACAGCTTTATATTTACCAGAATTTCTTTATTTTAAAATAAAAAATACTTCTAAACAAACATGAATAAAAAGTTACTTCACCATAGCAATATATCGACATTAATATTTATACAATAACATGACGGGCACCTCATGTTGGAATCTGATGGGGTGGAACCTAAATATTCTAAATAGGGTACGTAATCATAAAATGGTCACATGTTTGGTGTGTAAAATATGAATCTAAGATGCCACTATAGCTTTATCTGTCGACTGAAAGCTCCTACAATAAAGCCCTGATTCCTGAATGACTCTCTTTATGGACAACTGTTGAAAAGAGAGAATAAACAGAGCTTAATACAGAGGAGCCTAATTTGATTCTGTCTAGATGACTTAAATAATATATGGTAAAGTGTGAATAAAGTCAAAACTCTATATTAACAGAGTCAGCACCAAAAGTAAGCCCTGAGTGAACCCAGCAGATTCTGAAATGTTATATCAAACACATCCTTGGTATGAGTCAGCACAATTGTAGCTCACTAACTTGTGTCAGATTAAAAAGGGCCTTGTCTGACGGCAGAATAAAACTGTTGTGTGTTTGCCCGCCAGCTGGGTGGACTCCACACGGGTTGCTATCACTATTAGTATTCTTGACAAGAAAACGCCTCACAGAAAGTGAGCAGTGGGCCAGGAGGACAGCTGCACACTGTGCTTTCACTTCATACCAACTCCCTTCACAAAAGGGCCTCAAGGGAAAATTAAAGGACGGGACACTGGCACACTTGCTCTGCTTTTTCTCTTTCCCTTTCTCTCCGGCTCTTTTCAAGGGTGGACGTTTTTGAACCACTAAGAATCGTTCTGGAGCAGTGCTTTGTACAAACAGAGCGGCATTAAGACACTGAACACTGTATGAAATGATATAGGGCTGTGATTATATGTGACTTTGTGCATTTAGATCGATGACTAGGGAGGAAATCTGTGTTGCTGCAGATTATCTGATTTCGTATAATCAAGATTTTCATGGTTGTCTTTTGCCTTGTTGTCTCTCTGCAGCAGTTCTGCTCTTTTAATAAGACTAACAAGTCAAGCTACAAACCAATGCCACCCACTGCATTTACAGGTCTACAAACTGCAGCCAATGCATTATCCACTAATCCAGTCTCCTCCTGCTGCAGGAGTACAGTACAATACTGCAGCTAACATTATGGTCATCAGTGGAAAATAAAATGAGGGAAAAATGAACATTTCTGATTTAAAGTTTTAATGTAAGAACTATAATGAACATGGCACCGCTGCAGAGGTTCTCTGTCTGTGCTGAATAAAAAGCTTTGCTCACTACATGGTGTGATCGGCCTCTGCAGTTCTCTGCATCAAGGTCAATTCAGGCGATCCTCAGGAAAATAACTCCTGATCCCAGATTAGCCAGGTTGAATATGCAAAGACTCTGGTTTGATTGATGTAAGCTTAATGCACTGCTGAACTTGAACTGGATTTGTCAGTGATGATGAGTCTGATGATATGTGACAGGATGGATTTTCTAGAATACACTGTCATTTTCTTTCCTCAAGGGGACAGGGATGAACTCTTGTCTGAGTCTATGTCTACATGTGTGTTTTGGCTTCATCCCTCTACTCTCATCTCCAAACACTGACTTATGGATACAAATCTACAGTAGATGGTTTGAACCAAAATAGTTTAAAGAAAATATGCAATGAAGGAATGAAGCATGTAAGGTACGACTTTCTGCAAGAGAGGACTGAATTTACATCAAACATTTTCAGAACTGTAATGACACATTTGGTTTAAACAGATTGAGAGTTGGAGTAGTACTTCGGCCCATTTACAATGTCGTATTCACATGTTCAGAAAGGAGCGGTTGGTAGGCTGAATCTGAATGTATTTATTTTAACAGAGACAACGCAATTTAACATAATTTCAATATAAAGCATGAAACTGATGTGCTGCATAAAGAGTATACAGCTATTGTTAATTTCCAACTCGTGTCCCCAGTTGGGCTGTTAATGTCATGGTCCAAAGTGTCACTGGTTTGATTCCTGCCCGCCATCTTGCATGTCATACCACCCTCTGTTCTTATAACATTTTGTGGTGATCTATAACAGGAACTGTAAGGAATCTCTGTAGCATACCTTTGATAGAAATCTATTAGCATAGAGCAAAGGATTCAGAGATGGTTAAATGAATGAAGCATTTGGGAAACTTGGATCATCTGTGGAACCATGCTAATAACCAAGCAGCTTATACCAGTTTTAATAAAACACTATAAAAAGAAAACACATTTTTGTAAAGTTCATAATTTAAAAAGCTTACTTCTATTCATGTGGGTAACTATCAGGGATCTGGTCAACAAACAAATATTAAGAAAATATAGGACTAAATCAAGTTTGAAATATACCTCCATGCTAAATCTACAACTTTAATAACTTCATTCTTACCTATTGCTAATATACATACTGTGTAGGTTTGGTAGCTAATGGTAGAATATTTTGTGTATCTGTCACACGTATTAGCTTTAACTACAACATTCATAAAGTTGCTTTGTTTTTAAGAACAAGAAGAAGCTAAAAAAAAAATTCACCACTGTGGCAGAGAAAACGTGCTGCCAACCAACTAGTGTGTTAGAGGTGTAATTGCTCCATCCACATCCATCATGATGATATCAATGGGAGTTATGTTTTTATATGTTTTTATTTATTGTGCTGTTTTTATGATGTATATTTCCTGTATGGACCTCTATTGCAAACCAAATTGCTCGTCAGGTAAAACAAAGATTGCACACCCCATTCCAATGCTCAGCAGACTCAGCACCACACTATATGTTTCTATGACTTCTGCACAACTAAAACACCAAGCACCATGATCCTGCATATTCTCATACGCCAATGACACTCTTCTAATACCCTAAAAACTAAAAAGGCAGATCAGAAAGAAATATTTTCTTAATGTTGTACAAACATTCTGACTCTATGCAAACAGCCTCTAAGGGTGACTGAGTTGCACTTATTATAGAACTTATCTCAACTTTAAAACTGTGCTGGAACCAGCTACCCCCAATCTGTCTCCAAACAAGATGATCTATTTGGAAAAGCCACCCACCAGATGAGTCACCAACCAGGACCACCAATGATCCTGGGAAAGAGTGAAAAAGTCTGTTTCAAACAAATCCCAGATCTCAGACTTGACTCAGAAAGTCAGCTGACCACATATTGTGCACACAAGCCGTTTTTTTATTTTAACCATGCATGGACACTTTGTTGTGAATTTTCTCTGTGCTGCCTCCGGAAAAACAAAGAGACAGTTTATTCATCTATTCCTGGCTTCTGACTGTGTTCAGGTGTGCTCCGCTTCCTAAGACTCATCATTTTCACAACCCACGGAAAATGGGCCTGGCAGCCTCAGCATTTTTCTGTATCAGTGACAATAAAATCATGAATTGAATAGAAAGCAGGAACTCTTCAGTTTCAGACTTATATACTCCAACATTCAGTTATCAAAAGCTCTTCTTTGTCCACACAGATCCAGGAGTTGTTTTAGTCTTTAGCTCTGCATTGTGTGTTACACTGAAGCCATCACTTTATAAAATACAATTATACTAAGTACTGCACATTATTGATTACAGCTTTATTCTACAATGTTAAGAAGGGAATAAATGACCAGCCTCCAGCACATTTTCTCCTAAAACTTTTACAGCCAGTATTCAACATTGTGATGGCTTCATGGGCTTTTTTAGTTTCTGACGTGATCCAGAAACTACAAAACCATTTATATTTTACAGCTCTATAAACTTATGCATTGTACTTCTAAGTTAACTGGAATATATAATCAATCTTTTTTTTTGTATAGTGCCAATTCATAACAAATGTTTTCAAGACAATTGAGATAGCAGACACAAAGACACAAACAGAGCAGATCTATACCATACTCACTGATGGTTAAACATTAAACCACCGTGAGCACAGCACTTGGCAACAATCAGCAAAGTTACAGTGGTGGCAAGGTGAAAAAAAACAGCCTTTTAACAGGCAGAAACCTCAAGCAGAACCAGACTCGCAGTCAACAGCCATTTGCCATTACTGTGTTGGGCTTGGAAAGTGGGATAGAGGGAGATGCAGAATGAAATCTGGTGCCTGTACATGATCGTGGCCAATCCTACTGAGTTAGGCAACAGACTTGTAACAGAAGCAGACTTCGTAGATGTTACATATCTACGAGCCCAATAATCAGAACGAAATGCCATTTCCCCCACTTAATTATTCATTTTGAATATTTGAATATATTTAAGTATGATGTTGTAAAGGTCTAGCACACACATGTACCTACTTCTAGAACATGTTTCTGCAACTCATCTTTATCAACTTTGCTCACCACAGCAACTTGGTCTTCATGCATGCCACCAGTATTCTGTTTAAACAGGTTGCCACACCCATGCAAAAATACGACATATGCTATATAAAACCAGGCAATCTATTTATTTATTTTTAAATCTATATTTGCTCTTTAGACATCCATTGTCAATAGTAGAGCTGAGGATATGACAAATGTATGTTTATTATCTAGATTTAAGCAAAATGTTAAGAGAAACGTCTTAATGGTCATGATGAAAGCAGACCAGGTAACCTATTGTTTTCTTAATGGTCAGACAGGAATGACCAGAGAATCATATCATTGATTTGGGTTTCATTTGCCAGTGGACCATTAAAATAAAGTGTGCCATCACCTTTATCCTCTCTCTACCTGTCCATTAATGGAGTCTACCTGAGCCCTGAGGTGGATAACATGAAGAGAAGAGGCTAAATGTGCACTTCAGTCACAAAGTAGCTCTTTAAGTCTCCTGCAGGGCACAAAGTCTAAGAGCTCAAATCAAGCCTTGCCTTACTCCCAGAAAAAAAAAACACAATAACTTTGATTTTAGAAATAAGTGTCCAAGTTATTTCAGTCACATGTAAGGAATTTAGCTCAATTAAAGTGTCTATCTTCGTTTTCCATTCACTTTTCCGTACATTCTCATGCCCACCTGTGTGGAAAAGAATAAATAGCCTTACTTTACTATTATTGCACAATAATGAGCATGCGGTAAGACAAACTAGCTAATTAGCTAAATGCTATTGAAACACAGTGGGGGGTCTCTGTTCAAGAAAACCAAGAGGCAGACACTTAGAAAAAGTTATGCTTAACTTAGTGCGTCAGTCCCTTAAAATGTTGTTTTTCTTAGTAGAAAATAAACTACCGGCTACAATGTCAGGACCTCCGCTGAGGAAAGCAACTACTGTAGTGCAATTAAACTGGTAAACACGGTGATTTTCTTAAATTACACCGTGACTTGAAATCGAAAATAACTTCAACATGAAAGTACGCCATAGACTGCGTGTGTCTCATTAACAACAATACTAAAAAAAAAAAAACCTACCGGGTTCCTGTGAGCAGCATCTTTCAGCTGATGCTGGTTGCTTTGACTTCTTGGCAGTAAAAAGTATTTTTCCGTCAGCTGCTCTCTGGATGCTGCAGTGCGTCTTGTCCTGTCAGAGGGGGAAAGCAGCCCTGGATGCTGTGCGCAGGTATGAAGGAGCTGGAGACTGCTGTCCGACACACTCCCAAAGCTCCGAGGGGAAAGGAGGGAGTTCGGAGAAAGTGAAGTCCCATATATAAAAAAAAAAATCTTGAACTGCCCACTTTTTCAGCCAACACTCGGGATGGAGATGGCGCATGTCTGTCAGGGGGGGGGGATTGGGAGGGATGACATCTAAAATAAGCGTTTTTATAGGCTATGAGCACTCAGGAGATGACCTATATGTTTTTATCTGCAGGGTACCGACTAATGCATGGAGAGTCATTTGGATGAGGCAGAGTGAGTTGAGTCAGCTGCTGCTGCTGCAGGTAATATTGCAGCACAATCACCTACAGTGGATAAACAGGAGGGTGAGGGAGCTGACAGTCCTCTAACTCTGGGGCTGTTGGTGCTCTTAAGTCACATTGTTTAACTTTGCTTGAATCACCACCATGGGGGTGGGGGGGGGGGGGGGGGTCATGCACAATTTGCAGCATCCTGCAGAGGACCAGCTGCAGCTTAGAGATCTACAGCTTTGATGTATAGATTGTGTTTGTTCCAAAAAATTATACAGATAGACAGTGTGACAATCGTATAGACATTAGATAGATAGATAGATAGATACTTTATTTGTTAAGCACTTTAAAACAACCACAGTTGACCAAAGTGCTGTACAGAAGAATAAATAAAATACATAACAGCTCACATGAGATAAAAGAAAACTACATGTGAAATACAGAATCAATTTAAAAGACATAAAACATAAGTAAAATGAATAGGCACGCAAAAAAGAAAACATATAAATAAATAAGTTGACATCTTACTGTGTGTCAAAGGCCAGGGAAAAGAGATGGGTCTTAAGAAGAGATTTAAAAACAGGCAGAGAAGAACAACTTACTTGACAACACAAATTGTGTTTGAAAGTACTACGAAGAAGAAAAAATTGCAGGGATGACTTTTTTTAAAGGTTGATATTATGCAGTTTAAAAATCAACACAGCATGCATTTATGGTCATGTCCACGGCCACTTCAACATGCACAGTTGGACCAGTGCAAAAATTAGCTACTTTGACCACACATAAACCCTTAAATGTAAATTACTTCAGGATTAAAAGAAGCCTTCACATCCCTCTTTTGTTGCATCCTTTAAAAAACATGCCTTCAGCAAAACAAAAATATGGTATTTTAAACCTAACTAACTAAGTTAGTGGTGTAGCATTAGATTTTACAAGCAATGAGACAGATGTAGTTAGGAGAATGGTAAAACTGACACATTGAAATTCAACCTACTGTCTCATCTCCGCACATCTGGCAACATGCTGAAGGAAGTAAACTTTGAGACACTGTTTAGTACATTGATTTAAAGTGTATTGACATCTTTACCCTGTTGGTTTGGGGCTTTGGAGCAGTTATTCCCCTTGCCTTGTAAATCATAATTTCAGTCAGTCATTTGTAAGATTGATGGCCATGCTGAAACTGCAGTCATAAGTTACTTGTAGTATATCTTCAGGGATCTTCTTGGCTGAGTACTGTATATCTTGGCATCAGTTAATACTGTAACAGAGATGAATAAGGTCAAGTGATGTGTGGACGTGTGCCCTCTGCAGACGGAGTGAATGGTGCTTTGTAGCGGTCGCCCTGTGACTCGACAGCAGTGGTCGATGCTGCACACCCTGAGGAATCTCACATCCAGGTACCAGCAGGACTGTCTGAGAAGGAAATGTCAAAGCTCAACGCGCAGACAGAAATCAGAGGTGAGCTGGAGTCCAACTTTATATTCCAGCTTTGATGGACTGTCATAGTGACCCCGATAGATTCAGGACAAGTCAGCAATAATCCTCACTGTAAAACGTCATTCTCAATCCCAGGAGGGGCTTTTTTTATTTCCAACTTCAGAAACGCTTGTGCTACACCTGCTCCTGATATCTCACTTTTGAATTTACCCATGTTTGTGTGGGCTAAATAAGAATAAGTGATAAGATTATAATCTATCATTGTATCTATATTTATCTATTAATGAAACACAGGTCAAATCCCTTCATAGAGATCAGATTATGTTTATATAAAGCATTTAGTTCAGCAGTTGTAAGTAGGTTATCTGAGTGCATTTACTGAAGGCCTGTGCTTCTGTGTTTTTTAAGGCACACACACACACACACGCACACGCGCACGCGCATGCACACACACACACACACACACACACTCACACAAAATAGATTTGGATAAAATCTGTTCAGTGAATTGCAGAATTGTAGAAAAATTATTTCATACTTCCACTTCGCTGTAGTTGATGTTGTTTGTTTTGTAAAGTATGACAGTATACATTTTCTTACATTAAAGCAGGGTTAGCTCGTCAGGTCATTTGGCAAGCTAGACAACTAACAACATCAAAAGTATTATGCGAGCAATAACATAATATGTCAGGGTTTTAAAGCTCCTGTGAGCGGTGACCTCTGGTCTTTAAAAATGAATCCAATGTGGAAGTGCAAAATCCCGCAGTTTGCTGAGTGTCCGCTTGAGGCTGGCTCCAGGAGCCCTTGAAGTAGTCCTGTAGTAATTTCAAGCTTTTAAATTATTTTAGTGTATATATTTTATTGTTCTCATTGCTCTTTTATTGATTTTATTTTCTGTGGTAGCTTTATCTCATTTCTCGTTGTTTATCATTTATGTATGTTTTCTCGGCATCATTGTAAATGAGGGTCCCCCTCAATGATCTCTCCGAGAACTTAAATAAAGGTTGATGATGATGATGATGATGAAGTCACATACACATGACTGGCAAAAAAGCTGTTTGTACAGCATAAATTAACATGTTTACAGCCTAGTACAAAAAAAAGAAATAGGTCTGATTAGTTTTTGTCATCATGGACACACACTGTGCAGGGGGTGATTTATTTTTTTAAACGGCTCTGTTTTGATATTAGGAACAATACGATTGAGAGTTAGGCTGAGACAGCATTACCAGCATGGCGGCTGCTGCCGATGATAATTGGGAACATACGGCTCCCAGGTTGCAGCTCTGGTGTAGTTGAAGCAACACATTCCTCCAGCAGCAGCAGCAAGGGCTGATGGGTTTTCTGCTCCACACTGGCCATGATGGGGATGAAGGAGCCAAGAGGGAAGCTGGTTGATTCAGCCTTAACAAATATCTGACTTCACTCAGGCTTCGTCCATTATTACTTACAGTCTATGGAGAGACTTCCAGTTTGTTTTAACTATGGCGCCCCCTGTGGACAGAGCAGTAACTTTCCTATCTTTGATGTTCTTGCCTAAGCGCTTTTTCATGTCAAAAGATAAAATCTCATCCTGCCTTTTAACAATCAAATGTTTCACTCACTGTGAATCTTTGCTTCAGGAAATGCAAACAAGGAATTTTCTGGAATAATAATGTAAGTCCTCTTGTCTGACACATGCCCTGTAGAAGTGTTTAAAGACATTAAAAATGAAAATATAGAAATAATACATATTCTTGCTTTTGCAGCTCTCGAAAAGTACTCATTTCAATCTGTTTCATAACCGGATGAAAACCCCTCATAGGAGCTTTAAGTTCACTCTCCAGCTCATAATTGTAAAATATTGAGGTGATGTACAAGAATCCATTGAGAGAAGCATAGTCAAACCAAACAAACTGTAGTTTAATACGCATGCAAGCCATGCCTCAAACCTGCATGCCAGCTAACGTAACATTTTCCAGCATCCTTCAAACAAGCAGCCTATAATTAGGCACTATCATTATAATGTAGCTGAGCTTAGATCATCAAGTGAAAGAGGAACGGTCAAATTTAGTTTTAAGTGTCTTCAGATGTTTGTGAGATTTTTGAGGGATCACAGTCCTTGTGATTTTTAAAAGTGAGATCAAAATACCACTCAGGCTGTATGAGGCAAAAAAATATCTGAAATTGTTGCTTTTTTAGATACAGTATCTGTAGAGCAAAATTAATATATCAGTCATAATAAGAGACATTATATTAAATACATTTTACACTAATTATGTAACACGGTGTAATCTGACTTTTTTAGATGAACAAAGATCTACCATTACTCGATTCTGACACGTGCAATCTACACAAACAGGTGGGATTCATTAGTTCATGTGGCTGAGAAGCAAATATGACTCAGCTGAAATACAGAGCACACAGCCTGCAATTTCTTTTTATGTAAACCTAATTCTGCTTGAGTCATGTTCAGTGGTTTAATTTAACTGGGTTACCAGAACTGCTGTGAATTTACCACAGGGTAGAAATTACAAGATGAGCATTCGAAAAGCTCTGTCCACCCAGACTGACATAAATCTGTGTGCTGTCAATGGAAACAGTAAAGACAAATGAAACAACACAAAGGTTCCACTTCAAGACTGTTACACATCACCTTGCTGTAATCCCAGACTGAAATCCTCATCCAATGACAGAAAAGACAACCAGCCTTTGAATCATTTTTCCTCCCATAAAAAACGAAACCTCAAAAACCCTGTTTCCGCTGACGGCGTCTTTTATTCCCTTTTGGATGCAGAGTGAGGCAAACTGGTTCAGGAGGGACGAGTCTGGGAAATGTGCCTCTCTCATCTAACCAGCCAAACCCACCACTAGCCATGCTTTCTGCATGATGTTACTTCACTTACCAGAAATTAGGGTATATGGAGAGCCACTGTGAAATGGTGAGGCTGTTATATTTTATCTGTGACACATCGTTTTTTTGTGTCCACACCTGGCTACACAGTTAGTCGCTTCTCCAGCTAGAGACTTGGCAACGAGTAAAACGGTCTTTACGGTAAATCAATACAAGTTGTTAACCAGCGACGGTTAAAAAAAAAAGAGACAGGAAAGGAAATGGATGTCATTATCAAAAAAAACAGCTCAGGATGATCATTAATAATTTGATAGGTGCTGATCAAACTGGGTGTTTAATGGGAAGTTTATGTGAAGTAGGTTTTCTGTGTGTTGTGACAGATCTTTTAAAAGAGAAAACTAGATTTCAATCAGGGCCATAGGCAGAAAATTTAAAATGTTTAAATCCAACCAAGTCCAGAATCTGTAGTGCAATCTGCATCATCAAAATTTATTGGGAAAAAATGCATTTTTATTTGATTTTTATCTTCTGACAAGATGCTGTTCCACTCTCTATTGGATAGAGGCCACGCCCTCCAATTGTTGTGGGGGGCAAATCGGGCCTAAAATTTGTAGTGTAGCCAGCTTGAGTGTATTTTGCTGGATGAAAAATATTATTATAATGGTGGACTACTTTGGACTACATAAGAGAACCTGCCCCCTCTTTAGACACAAAAACTTTTAATGTAAATAAATATTATTTATTTTTAGTCATTAAAAGTGAAAACATTCATAGCACCCTTACTTACTTCAGCTGTAATGTCTTTTTGTGTATTATAATGCCTTGTTTTTTGTTACATTTAATCACCAGAAGATCCTTTTGGTTTGTGTAAAGTTCTTTTGACATCTACAAAAGCTTTATACCATAAAGTCTCCACTCTCCACTGTTGAGAGTTTGAACATATTAACCAGCTGGAGAGAGTGAGGGGCCAACAGCTGGTAGAAAAAACAGCTGGTTAACATTTAGCGGATTCTCTCCACGTCAGACATTTTGACTTGTTTTAGCAGGTCAAAATGCTCAGCAGAAACTAAATATATTGGCTTTGGTTCCCTTTAGGTCCTTTAGAGGACTTGGCCAGTTAACCAGTATGCACAGTAGTGAGAGAAGGCTCATGAAATGGAAACAGTCCATCGTTACTGGTTTCATGCAGACCTTTAGCTGTTTCTGCTGAAACAAGTCCAGACCTTTGCTGTGGAAAAGTTGCACTACATTCTCAGTGATATGACGTGTAGTAAGGAAGAATAAAGTTATATAAGGACATTTTCAAACTGAATCCTAATATCAGTAATCCTTTAAGAACTTGATTCCAGATGCACACATTACTGCCTAGTTTGAATATTAATAAAAATAGACAATATACAATTGTTTGTTAGATTTTTCTTTTGCAATTTTTGGCTGTTATAAATGTCTTTGAGAATTTGAATGAGGTTATTCAAAAGCTTTTATACTGTCACTTTTTCATTGGTTATTGCTGGAATGGAATTTGGTATAATTTGTCGGGTCATTTTGTAAAAAAAAAAAAAAATTAAAAAAAATTAAAAATTGTTGAGCAAATTGAAACAATTAGTGTTATCTGTTGATGTTACCAGATATGCAGTGATATTTTTGTTTTGTTTTCTTAGCTAAGTCTTATCATAGAAATGAACTGGTCATAAATCTGAGAGTGAGGTCATGTTTGAAACCTGATGTTAAAGCCTGTCAGACATCACAGTAACAACACAAAGTGCCAGTTTATACAGAGTCGTATGAGGTGACTGAGAACTTGGTTAAAACTCTCCAGTGTTGGTAGTCTCCTCCCAGACTGTTTCCTTCAACACATGGTTTCCCAGACTCTTTGGAAAGACAGGCTCATTTGTCTGAAGGCTTTAAGTTTTTGGAGAGCAGCGCGTCTGGGCTTCTGTAAAATAATATGACTATTTCAAGCCGTACAAATAATCCAAACAGGCTGAAATGATTATAACCGTTATTATCCATGCCAATAACCAGAATCATTTTCCAATCGTGCAGACTATACAGTATGTTTGAATCATTCTACAACATGTACTTAGTCTTTTACTCTCTAGGACAGAAGCCCCATGCTCCCTGAATGTTGGCCCATGTACAAGTTAACTACAATGCCATCTTTGCTGAAATGCTGCTTTACTTCATGTCTTAGTCTTCCTAAATAAATAACAGTGTGTGCATGGTTTGGGGAAAACTGCAAAACTTTCCTTCTTATCATTAATGTGTGTAGATCAAAGCCTAATCTTTCAGTCATTATTTTTTTTAAACAACTTAACAATAATAAGAAACTTAAAATGTGTTGGTTTAAAGATATAAGTTCCTGAACTGAAGTAGAAAACTCTCCATCAAAGTAACCCATCATACGTGTATACTTCTGACATTTATTCACAAAATCACAAAGTATGAAAGAAAGAATAACTACAGCTGTAGCCATTAAGGAAACAATAAAGTTGATGTTTGTTATCAGCTCTGTCTTCTTCTCCCCTGTACACAAAGCTGTTCTTTTCTCAACATGTATGTTACAGCGCTGCTTTTAAGTCCAGAGGTCTTTCTCAAATCATCCTCACAGTCTCTTTTAAAATGTTAACTTTGACTCCAATCAAAAACAAGATCCTCCGACGTCCTGTGGAAACTCCATAGCACCCTATGGCTTGTCTCTGGTTTCTCTGCTCAGTACCAGTAGGACCTTTGGTGGCGCCTGTTCTCCTGGATGCCCAGTTTCTCCATGACTTCCTCCTCCAGGGTTTTCAGAGATGGTACGTATGTCTTTTCTAGAGTGTCTTCTGGACTAGTGTCTTTGGGACCATCTGTGTGAGCAGAAATAAAAGCCGGTCACATACCAAAAACATTTACTGCTGGAACATCTGTATCATAACAAAAAACATGCACCTGAACAGGTACGTTTAGAGACATTACTTTACACTGTTAAAAATGACTGCGTATAAATACCCATTCAAATACTTGGATGGACAGACGGGATGAATATTGGATGATTATTACGTTTTTTAAGTTTTTTGCTTTCCTCTTGATTTTTTGTCTGTTCTGAAACTCCCCAGACACAAGCAAATCATGAACCTTTCAAAAGGAATCCATATTACTGCAAATCTTCTGTTAATATCCCAGGCTATTGTTGACTTCAGTCTATAAAGTTACCCTGCCTTTATTTGGGACAGGCTTCAATACCAGACAGGCCTGTCATTATTTTCAAATCAAACTCATACACAGCAAAGATTGGAAAGACTAAGAAATTGTAAATTTACAACAGAAATAACATTTAACATTGTACATAATGAGGATGTCATTAAAATAGTAAATCACTAATTTGATCTCGCTATGTAAAACAGCCCATCCAAGCCAACATACTGAACTGCTTTTTCTATGTATTTTTGATCATAAAAACTATTTCAACATTTAACGGAATATTTGTCAAAACTTGCAGAAATAGCAGGATAGTAAAAGGGACTGGGCCTTAAATTGGGATGGGCTTTTATTAACGTCATGCAACAATTGACCAGATGTGAAAATCTGTAAAGACTATATTACAGTTGAACTTTTTCATCTTGCTTTGTTTTTGTTCTTCAAAAACAATTTTCAGTAAAATGTTAAGAAATAATATTTAGTTCAAAAGCAAAAATACATTTGAAGAGAAACCGTCCTAATCAAACACTTAGTTTCTCACACCTCTGAATGAGAATCACTTTCTTCTTTTGATGTTTTTTATGATAATACTCACAAACAACTTTATTTAAAACATAACCTGCACTTACAATTAGCTGAGAACGTTGTTAGGTTCTGGTAAGTTTACACACAGATGTGTTCCTAACACTTTTAAAATTAAACTATTTTTAGAATTCAAGTCTGCACAGGGTGGAAAAACAAGTGACAGCCAGTTTTCTGTGCTGACTCTTCACTAACACTAAGGGAATAAACTGGTGACTGAAAAGAACACCAATCCAATCCCAACACACATAAACACTCACCTTTCCACTGCTGCGGTACGATGCCGTCTCTCCGCTCTACTACAGGTTTTGGGATGATCCGACCTGTCCTGAGAGACACTCGGACTCTCTCGCCTTCCTCTGTGAATTTCCACTCAACATCAGTGGGCTTCCTGGAAAATCAATATCAGCACATAATAAATGTAGTCTGTTGTTAAAGCAGAGATCATTTACATTAAACTCCAGTAAATACACTTGCCACTTCTTTTATATTTGGAAAAGGTTGAAGACTGTTATTATTCATCACTTCTCTTACTGATAGTGTAAAAGAACACCATGCTTACCATACCACCAGGACAATGCATTACAGTACACATCTGTTCAAACTTGTGTTTTCTTTGCTATACAGATATTTTGGATTTCAGTATTTTTATCTAAATTTCTCCTTTTTATAAGAGTAGCCATGTTTACTGTACCTGTCTGCGGGGTCAATGAGGGCAACATCACGAAGCAGGAGGGGAGCCTCGCTGGACACATAGGTCCCTCGGTAATCCCCAGATTTACCAATATACCTGTGATGCTGAAACACAAAACAATAGTTCATTGTTTGGACCCTAACAGGTGGCGGCCAAATGGCTTTGAAACAGTGTTTTTAGGGCACCCTGACTCCAGACTTCTGGCTCCATCTGGTGGAGCTGAAAAATTAAAACTTGGCTTTTTACAACTATACATCAGTAACAACTGAACTGTTAAGTTCAGCTTCACAGTGGAAGAGAATTTAGTTGGTGTCATTTCTACATGTCTCAGGTTTAAGTGTTTGTTGAAGTGTCAATACTCTGTGTAGTGTGAAGAGATATAATGAACTGACAACAGTTTAAACTGCGTCTGATCGTCTTGTAGATCAAGAAGGGACAGAATTAGTAGGTGTGGGATTTACGACACTTAATGCCCCTGAAGTAAACTAGAACATGTCTGTTTTCTTTGAGAGAACCATCACTTTCTTACCGTGTTCAGTCCCTCCAGTATAACCCAGTTTCTGTTTCTGATGACTTGAATCACTTTTCCATGTTTTCCTTTGTCCTTCCCTGCAAGGATCTCAACCTGAAAAACACATGAGAATACAATAATATATGTACAAAACTGTTTGTTTTTTATAGTAGTGTACTTTTAGGTGTATTAATAACGGCATACTTTAAACTACCATGTATCATGGTGGCTCACTAACTTTTATTTTGGTGGAAAAACTGTAAATTCACATTCTTAAAAGTATCTTTTAGAACATTTCACTAAAGGTCTTTGGGCAATAAAAAGTTACAAGCAAAATATCCAATCCATCTTAGAGCCCATTTTAATTAAACAACAGTATTCACCAAAGGGCTTTGCAGTCCACAAAAAAATAGTGTTTGCAAATGAGTAACAACGAAATAAATACATAAAAAGAACAACATCATAAGACAAATATGAAACTGTATAGATAGATAGATAGATAGATAGATACTTAATTGATCCAGAGGGAAATTCAAAGCATCCAGTAGCAGGTTACAAAGACGTACATGACATGAAACATTTGTTACAAATTAACCACAAAGCCGGACCCCCCCCCCCCCATACATATATATTAACCTGAAGAACACCCCTAGATGAATCAAACTTAAACTGTGCAATTAAAAATAGACTTATACAAGAAATGTACAAAACCTGTGCAAGGATAAAAATATATCTGTAATTTAAACAAGAACCTATAAACAGTTGAGGTAAAAAAGATCTGTAATTAGACCTGAATATAAAAAATAATTTTAAAAAAAAAGTGTTGACCTTCTGAAGTTGTGTTGTTTATACATGTACAGCAATGTTTAAAAAGAAGATAGTGCAAAATTATCAAAAAACAGACATTAAATAACAGGGACACAAGAACACATCCCTCTCATTCAGAGTTTAAATACACAATATATTTAGCTTTAAAGCTTAATCTTGTGCGCATTCAACTTGAACAGAGTCATTCTGGAGAGTTTGATGCGCTTTACATGATTTATATCTCAAATAGTCTTACTCAATATTTGACAGACGATTAAGTGCAGATGGCTTCTTGATGTTGGACTCTTTAAGACTGAAGACTCCACGATGGTGTGCATTCAGAGACCTAAACAACGTCCATCTGACCTAAGTGACTATAGAAGACTGAGTTTTAGTGAGTTTACTGTGTTTGGTAAGTCACTCACCTGGTCGCCTTTAAAAAAGGACCAGTCCTCTTTAGCTATCGGCTCCACAAACACCTTCCTCCTGGTCTTTCCTGGAGGATTGAGTCTCTTGGCCTGAGCAGTCCATGGTCTGTTTGTGCCGTAGCGGTAACCTTTGGGCACAATAACTCTGGCTGCCATCGATAGGAGAACAGTCAGCCTCATTGTGCTGCAGAGGCAAAAAAAAAAAAAAAAAGCAGAGAAAGTTAGCATAAAAGATGCTGAGTCTCCCTTGAAAACACTCGTCTATCCCAATAGAAGCTATGCTAACATTAGCTTCAGGGAAGCTATCATTAACGCTGGGTTACACCATCTTTTTTAAAGCTTATCAAAATATTCAACATCATTTCTGCATATCTTCAAACTTAAATTAAACATTGTGCTGAGGCGTTTTTATGACAAACACGAGCTGGCAACATAACATGCACTTATCTTACCCTCTGTTGTTGTCAATGTCACATGTGACAGCAGGCAGCTCGCCGACACAAGTACTAACACGCAGCGCCGCCTAGTGGACTGGGGGATGAGACCTGACTGCACGCATGCGCAGTGGCTAGTCAATGCATCGGTAAGTGGACAGTAGAAATAAATAACTGATGTGAAGGTAGGCTAGATCAGCAAGATGACCTTCATGATTACATGTAAAAACACAGATACGCATTTCATTGCAAAATGCATGCCCTAAAAAGTGAGGGAAGTATTTACAACTGTGATTACCGTATTAAAATATATGTGTATATATATATATATATATATATATATATATATATTGTATTGGATTAAAGTTGTTTCACAAGTGTTGAGTGAAACTGGTTAAACACTTAGCTCTAAAGTTTGATCATCTGCAAATTGACTTTGGCCCTTTTATTGGTGGGAGCATTCATGTGGGTAGATCTAGTAAGTTTAATCAAGCTTTACTGTATTTTTACTGTAAAGAGGGCGAATGATATTTATAGCGCCCATGGAGACAAGAGGCTACAGAACCTGCCATCGAACATGTAAGAAAGCTGAGGAAGTCATTAATCTTGTGAAACATAGACCAGCTGCCAGAGAGGATGGTCATAAATCAATACTTCTAAAGCAGGGCAGCATCTCATGGATATTATGAGGGGGAAAATAAATGTGGAATTAAAACATTTAGTTTCCAAACAGTATATTTAAAGATCTAATAAGAAACAAACCCTGTGGCAAATTGAAAGCTGTCAGACCATGTTAGATAAAAACAAAACTAGTTCAGCCATAAAGCCCCAAACTGTGCTGGAGTGTTCTCTTGGGATCAAGTTATTTGTGACAAGTGCACAAAAAGGTGCAACTGTAATTTTATAATTTTATAACAAGGATGAAAAGAGATAAATGATATGATGAATTAGGTCTGGTTGGTAAAAAAAGAACAGTGAAGAGAATTTGTCTTTTTTATACTTCTAACAGAGTAAAGACAAAACAAAATACAACTGAAACATAAATGACAAAAAATGTATTTTTTTTTCTGTAATTGACAAGTTTATTAAATGGACTGGCAGCTACAACAGTAAACTAAGCAGCAGATTAAGATGAAAGACAACTTCCAAAAGTAACAGTGAAATCCAAATCAAGAATCACACTGTGAAAACTCCAGATTTTAGCAGGCCACTTTGTTCGTTTATCAGCAGTCAGGATTATTGTCATGTTTCAAAGCTGAGATTTCACTTAGGTTCGTCATTTTATTTACTGTGGGCTCACTTTGCCAAAATACACAAATGCACACTCAAGCGATGAACTCCTGGTAACATGGATGAGCGGGGAGAGCGTTTAGAAAACATTTTGATCCTTGAACAGAAACAACACACCATGTTTTCTACACAGATAAAGAAATAAAACACATCTGTAAAACATCACAACTTTAGTTTCACACCAAGAACAATCAGACCATTGAAGTTAAATAGCCTCGTATTCCAGTCAAGAGGGCTTAGAAACAAACGTTACAAAAAAAGGGTGGATTACTCTCTCGTCATTTCTCAATGTGTGTTAGATAAATTGGCATTGTCAAAGCTGGGAAAAAAAAAAGTGGAACATTTTTGGTACAATCAATTACTGTATGCAATTCTTCACAATTACACCTCCAGTATCAAGCAATGGCAGCATTCACATGAGCTGAATAATGTAGAAATTGAAAGATGACGTTAATGGATTTAAAGAATTTGACAGAGAAAATGTTTCCGTAAACGTAGTGATGGATTTTTAGCTTTTTTACCACCGACAGACAGCACAGCTCAACTTTCAAACGTCAAGAGCCAGCAACATTCAGGAATGTCTTTCAGCTTTCAATAAACACGTCAGCAAACAACGTTACAGAGGGGCTTTGTCTCAATCCTAAAATAGTATCTCCATCAATGGGCATTATATTTTTTATTCTGGTTTAATGAAGCACATTATTTGGTCACCTGCTTGAAGCACAAACTACACCATAGCAATAAAACCTGTGTTGAAAATACAGAGAACTAGATCATGATAAAAGAGGGGAGGGAAGGGGGGGGGGGACTCTTAAGGTGCAACTTATCATGAATCCACTGTCTGAACATATGATTGAAGATGAAGTGGAGAAGCTAGACTAAACAGATGAAAGTGATTTTTTATTTTAAATCTATGAACTAAAGCTCTGAACATGTGTGACAATTTGTATCTATCTTTTAAAACCATCAAATTGGAGCTTTTCTCTTTTTTTTGTGTGGTTAAAATGTTCTCCTTTTTTTATTATCATATATTCAGTTGTTTTCCCTCGGACTTGAAATGTGTTTTTTTTTTTTTGACACCGAGCATTCAGTCTTTGTAATTTTTGTAATTGCACTTAGAAATAAAAAATATATATACACACAAAAATCCCGTTTATAAATGAGCCTCACTGTGCTCCTTTGTAATTGTTTGAAATCAGATTAGCAAACTTTTTTGTTTTGTTTCTGGGATATATGATATCCCAAAAATGGCATATGAGGATTTGTTGATGTCTCAATATAAACACTCAGGTTTTTTTTTTTTTTTTTTAAATTCTTGTATTAATTAAACAACTGAAACCTGGTACCCCGCAGGTAATCACGTTGACGCTCAAATTCCAGAGAAAAGCGTAGAAGGTTCCTGGTCTTCTCCTGTGGGTTTTGACTTTAAGCACTGTCTGTCACAGGCTGCAGAGAGAACAGTGGAGAATAATCGTTAATCCATTTCTCTCACAATATGCATACAATGTTTCATTTTCTGGGTCAATATCCATACAAAAACAACATATACATATATACTGGTTCTCTTGACCCGTATCAAAGTCCCCATAACTTGATGTTTCCAGGTCTAAAACAACAAAGCCCATGTGTATGTCTCACCTTCTCGGCTGTGAGCTTGCCTCCTGCCACAGCGTTCTCCTGGTTCTCTGTTTTCGACTCGCTCTGAGAGGAGGGAGCCATCGCCTTAGGAGCTGCCACATCATTGAGCTTAGGCTCTGTGTTCAACTTGTTGCCGTCTACTTTAGAGTCACCTCCTGCCTCTGGATCTTTCGGCCGCTTGGATGAAGCCTAAAAAAAAAAAAAAGAAGAAAGAAAGGGTTTTACAGAGATCAGAGTGCTCAACATTCAGGCCCTCTCAGTTTGTTTCTGATAGGCTCAGAGACTAAATCTTACCTCTGTGGATTCCTCTGCTTTTCGCTTGGCTCCTCCCCTCTCATTCTTCTCGTCGATGACCAGGGCCCCTTCATCCTCGTCGCTGCTGCCTTCAGCTTCAGCTTTCTCTGAACCACCGGTATCCCCTGCTGGTTCTGATGCATTCTCTTTCTTTGATGACTTAGGGGAGAAATACAAATGTTAAGGGAAATATATTTAATAGTTAGATCGACCAAGAGCACCACACAAAACCTTGATGTTGTCTTGTGTTGGTAAAACAGTGTAATCATCTGGCACTAAATCTAAATATGCTGCTGTACTAATAGTTCATACAAACAGAGAATGGTAAAGAGGGGACGATTGGTCTTGAGTTTCTTTTGGCTTGCTGGTTAAACAAGCCATTTATACACAATGCACGTGTGTGGAAAAGCAACACAGCAACAGAAAATGAAGTGAAATTAAGAAAAGGGTTTTGTTTTTACTTCAATCATACAGCTCCCGGTTTCCTATACCTCAACCAGGAATCAACCAAAATATTTTCCTACCTTGCCAAGAACACAAAAATGAAATGATAGCAATGATAAATGATATATTATAGCAACATAAAAAATCAGTGTCAAACTCTCTACACACTCCCCCTTTATGCTTTAGACGTCTTGTGATACAGTGCACACATGGTCACTGTCGTACAAACACACACACCTTGCTGCCTTCATGCGTGACAGTGGGGTTGTTCTCTATCTCCCAGAGTCCCTCAGAGAAGCCTTTCCTCTTGTTTGGTTTTCCAAGCTTCTCCTTATTCTCATCATACGGTAACAAGTCTTTAGCCCCAAGGAACGCCCTGTGATGGCCAAACAGTAGGAATGTGATATTAGCGTATATTTGTGTTACAGTTGTAAAAGCCAAACACAAACAACAAACAGCTGACTCAGCTATTTCAGAAAGATACTAGCAGGGGCAGTAGAAATGATTTTTCAGACTTTTTTGGAAGGACAATGATATATTTGTTTTATATCAGGAAAAAAAACAAAGTCACAAAAACAGATTTGATTTCATGTCTCAACATGAGTATCAAAGAGAAGTCCATTACACTGGGTTCATCATCTGGAGAGAACGAGTATACAATAAATAGATTAAAACCTTGAAACAAACTTTACTCACGTCTCATGCGTTCCAAAAAAGAACACCTGATACTTGTTTGAAGGAGACTTCACAGCTCCTTCAGGTAACTCGTCAATCTGTAGATTAAAAAAAAAACAAGCTTGTTAAGAAACTAATTCTGGTAAATCAATATTCATTCAGCTCTTCAGAAATAAGATTTAAGTTAAACTAAAAAAAATTCAGGAGCACAAAAAATATTTCTCAAGACATCGTCAGCTTTCTCATAATGTCGAATCAGCCTTTTCCAGGAGAACAAGAAAATCCTCCTATTTTTAAGAAGCTTTGATCTTTTTTTCCTTCTTACATTTTCTTGATAAAGGAAAACCAGATGACTTGATCAAAATATTTGATGCACTAAAATGCACTGTTTAACTCTTAATGCTTTATTAGGCCTGGACAGCCTTGCATCACAGTGTATACAATGAATTGCTAAACGATAGGTATCAAAATAGGTCAGCTTGATGAGTTGCTATTAGCAACTGTAAGGACAGGGGTCACAACTCTTTCTGCTTGGCTTCTTATGTTTAACATCATTACAGTTCACAGCCTGGCTGCAAAACTCTGGCAGTGTTTTAAAAAAGTGTACACAGCAATACACTGATCCACAGGAAAGCACTGTTATGATGGCTAAGTATGACGACTGTTTGCCACTGCATGACGGGCCTTTTGGCAGCAGTGTCCACAGTTTGAGTAGGTGGGGCAGGGCCTGTAGCTTACTGACATGGTCCATATCTGATAGAACTGAGAAAAGGAGGGAAGAGGTCAAGATTAATCCTAATACCTGACTTGACTTTTATGGATGATTTTACATATTCTAAAAGCTTATATTCAAATATATCCATGTTAAATGTAAATAAGTTTGCATTTAATGCAGTAGAGACAATCATTTCTGTCTTTCAACATTCCATATCTGATAGAACTGAGAAAAGGAGGGAAGAGGTCAAGATTAATCCTAATACCTGACTTGACTTTTATGGATGATTTTACATATTCTAAAAGCTTATATTCAAATATATCCATGTTAAATGTAAATAAGTTTGCATTTAATGCAGTAGAGACAATCATTTCTGTCTTTCAACAGTATTCATTTATCAAATATAATAAAAACAGCTTTATAGATCAGTGGTGGCTATAACTTGAATGTTTTTTTTAAACATTTTACAGTTCAGATTGTGTATTTAGGCTCGAAAAATTGATTTTGAATCATCAGAGTTTAATTTTGAGTTTGAAAACAGATTTATGAAGCTTCATTTCAAAGGGAAACATACGGTGACCTTATTAGGCTCATAGTTTATTTTCTGTCTTATTAAATGATTTGGAAACACTGGCAGGGAACTTGCTGTGTATTTGTATAGAGGGTAGACATTACGTTACATGTTATTTAAAGTGTTGAGTTATTTGTCCCGTAATGGGAGTAATTAAATGTTAGGAGCAGAAACAGTGCTACTTGTTGCAACAAGTGTGTGCAGACAGACAGGCGTGTTTACAAAGAGCACCATGTGTAGTCTGTAATGCAACAGTTATTAACAAGGGGGAAACGTTACTTAGCACTAAGTTTGCAGAGTGAAAACGATGCTTCAGTCATTAAATATAAAGTTTAAATTAAATAAAGTTTCCTGGTGTTCACACATTAACTTGTTGATTACATGGTCGTTAATTCAAGCGAACCTTCTGTCGCCTCAGCCGCTATTTTTAACGGTAACGATCAATTAGCCTGAAAGGCCCCGGATGCTCGACCGTCTACAGTGTGCTAGCCGTGTTTGGATGCTAGGTGAAGTTAGCCGACACGACCGAAGCTAGGCTAACTCATGGTAGCTAACGCCAACTACTATTAGGCCTCTCGGGCAAACAGGTGATATGAGCAGGCAGGAGAGAAGCAGCAAAACGAAAAGCTGGAAACAAGATATTACACGCTGGGTGCTGCTTACCCTCGCAGGCCAGTGTGGATATCCCTTCATTTTCGCAAATACAAGATCTCCAGGTTTGTATTCTCTTTGCCTGTTGGACCTCGGCATGTTTCTTTGCAGAAAAAAGGCTTTTTAGTGTCAAGAATATATTGAATGAAAGCAGTGTTGTATCCGGAGTGGTCAGCAGCTGCAGCACACAATCCGATTCTCAGTTTAACATCCAAAATAAGCAGGCGCGGAAAAACTGGAGCTTAGACGCCGCGGGTTACTTTTCCCGCGTACTTACTCCTGCGTAACCTGCTAGTAACGTTGAAAGGTAACAACTGGATGTCTGGAGGTTTAGGTTGTAACGTTAACGCATGATCCACTTGCTCTTCCCTCGCACTGTTTGGGTTTGAAAACGAAACCCGCTTCCCACTTTGCAGACGCGCCCCCCAGCACCAGGTGAAGCCATGCATAGCGCCCCCTGTTGACCAAAATCCTGCATTGTATGAGGGACAAAAAATGACTGAAGTGTAAATAAATAAATAAAGTTGGGAGAAATGAATACTTATTAATGTGGAAATGTATGCATTGATACATATATAACTGTAGAAATACGCTAATAAATGAATAAATACATGTAAAAATATATAAATAGCCTTTTTCATTAACAAAGTGTATTTATTATTTATTCATTGATGTATTGTTTTCAGCATTTATATATTTATTTATATATTTATTGTTTCATTTATTTAATTATTTATACATTATTGTATGCATTTCTCCCAACATTTATTTAATTATTTATACTTTCGTCATTTTTTGTCCCTCATAGTATTGTAGGTATACAAACATTATGGTAAACAAGCGATCCCTTAATGAGATAAAGTAATTGATTAAATACTAATGTTTCTACTTCAAGCTTAAAGTAAACGGACCAGGTTAATTTTCCAAGAGGCCAAATTATACTATAACTATACTGTGCAATGATTAAAGTCTGTGTGTTTTAAATCCTGGCTAGATCCTGGTACTAGGGCTTAAAAAATAATGGTCAACCTACGTGAACTACATGCACAAAGGAAATACGGTATAACGATACATTTGAACCAAGTAAATTTAATCAAGATGAATCAGAATTTTTTTAAAGCGGGATGGTAGTACTTTAATTGTACTGAAAGGAAATGTTTTTTAAATGTGTGCTCTGTGGTAAACTCATAAGGTTTTTAAGGGGAGTCTCACAATTCACAGAAGTGCTGCATTTAACCTGCCCACATTAATTTAAACTCAGTTGTTATAATAAATATCTATGCTACCAAAGAATTATCAAGATTTTGATTTTTATTATTTTATTTTTTCACGTTTTGTAAATTAATGTAGTTACACACTCAGTCCTTTAGGGGCGCATATTCCCCGAAGTTGCAAATACCGAAACAGAAGAAGAAGAAAAATGTGCGCAGAAAGATGCGCAGTTGTCGTTTCTTCAATCAATGATGGAGGCGAATGTTTTGATGAAGTAAAGGGACTAGACTATGATCGCTTTGTGGCAAAAATATAGATACAGCATTAACCAATGTTGTGTTATTTGCAATAACATAACTGAGGCAAATTTAATGAAATGAAAAAGGATAGGGCTTGTTAGCTAGCATCATTTTCCGCGGGGGCCTAGCTAACATTAGCGTTGAGATAGCTCTTGATTTTAAACCTGCGCTGTTTTACATTAAACTACAGCTCAACCTGGTTATTTAATGACCTGCTATATTGATAAACGAGTATCCTACCTTTAATTGAAGTAATCTCGTCAGAAAGTGAGTACGGCTTCTTAATATCAAATCAAGGGGAAGTTGCAATCCATGTCCACGATCACTGCAGATCAGTAATCTATAACATCATTATCAAAACATTATCAAAACATGGCTTTAGTCGCATATGGCAGCAGTGATGACAGTGATTCAGAGGAAACCTCTGAGAGCAAAGGTGGGCTCTTCTCTGTCCTGCCTGCTCCTAAAAAGACAAGCTCTGTGAGAGGAAACTATGGACAAAGCAGAGAGACGAAAGCGAAGTCCTCTGTGGAGGAGAAAACTTCAAACGATGAGCTAGATCCTCAGCCATCTAGAGGAGGGTTATTCACCAGTCTGCCTAAGCCGAGGAAGAGAACAGAGCCCGTCAAGATCACTGTACCACAGATCCAGAGACGGGATGTGAGTACTGACACGGTTTGGATCTTCTCTCCTGTGGTTTGTGATCAGGTAGTTAACTGATAATCTGTGTGTTTCTCTCTCATAGTCGGACTCAGATGATGATGAACCTGCAAAGAAAAAACTTCAACCCCAGGTAGGCATTGTTCACTGTGTTTCTGATTACCCAATATTCAATTCAATTCAAATTCAAGTGTCAATTTAAATACAACTTAAAGCTTAAACTTAACTTAAAATACAAAATATAAAAGAGTAGATATAAATGGACAGTGATCGGACTAACAGATGTAACCAGATGTAAACAGAACTATGTGCAGTAAATGAGAAATAAATATATATATATATACAGAGCTATGTGCAAGTAGGCAAATACTAAATGATAAGTTAATAAGGTGCATGGTGAATAATTGGAACAACAGAACTAGTATCTACAATACAACTGTAATGGTATTTGCTGTAGTTATTATAACATCTGCCATCTTTTGTTCTGATGTCTCCACTTTTGGTGATAACTTGCCTACAGTTAGAAAAAATGCTTAAAAATGAAGAGAGACAATGACAGAAAAATCTTACTTTCTCAAATTTAGATAGTATACAAATAGCATCAAACTACACTGCCAGCCCTTGAACTCTCACTTCCCCTTGAAATCCACCTCTTTCCTCTCCTAGGGTGGAGGTTCAGGCCTGTCCTCACTGCTACCACAACCTAAAAACCTGACAGTGAAGGAGACCGATAGACTCTTGATTCCTCACACTCTCACCAAGCGGCAAGAACCCAAAGTAACCAAGCCTGGAATGCCGGCCCAGGGTGGGCTTGGCTCTAGTGCGTCCCCCTCCGCAATCAAAGCTGCAGCGAAGTCAGCCGCTCTGCAGCTGGCTCGACAAATAGCCACAGACGAGCAGGATAATGAGGAGGACATAACCCCACAGAACTACTTTTCTCTGGGAGAGAGCACCCCGGTCATCCCTGCAGTTGCCCCAAGCTTAGACCCTGAGCCACGAGAGCCCGAAGAACCTCTTCCTTGTGCTCCTGACGATGAACCCGGTCAGTCAGATGCTCCTCTCGACTTTGGTGGGAGCCACGAGGGTTCATGGGGGGCTCAGTATCCTGAGTATCAACAGCCCATGGCAGGCCCAGAAGCTTTCCCTCAGGTAATCTTGGTTTGCTAAGTACTCTACAATGTTTATGTCAACAAAATGGTGTTTTAAATAATAATTGTTGTATTGTATAATAATATTAATTGGTGATTTAAAATTTGTTTGAGTATTTAAGAATAAGTTGGGGCCAGTCCAGTTCAAAATGAGTTCTGTTTGTAAGTGCCAGATCATCTTATTAACAGCTCATCAGATCTAAAAGCAGTCATGGAAAAAGTCACGTAGCCAGATTACAGTATGGAGGCTATTGTGACAATGAAAACAAGAGCTCCTTAACTTCTATTACTTATACTATATAATACTCATTATAGCCACACATTTGTCTAGTATTTGCAGTGACCCTCCATGCTTTGCATCTTTTCTATAATTCTAGTAGACAGATGAGCCGTCTGAAACCCAAGGAAACAAACTGTGAACAGTTGACAGGCACAAATAAAAAAATAAACAGAGCAGTCTGATGATTAACTGTAGACACTTAAGAGAAATAAACCAATGAAAATCAGACTTACAACGCTGTGACATCCCAATCATTTCTCTTCTGACAGAGTTATTATAATGAGCCATATTACCAAGGCCCTAACCCTGAGCTGACAGAAGCTGAAGAGCCTGGCCAGTCTGCCCTGTTTGATGATGAAGCGGTAAGACGTCTGCTGTTTCTTCTATCTGGAATGCTTGATATGACTTAATGAATGTATAACTTTGTAGTCACGTTGTTCAACTCACACACACAACAATCATTTTTCGTGTACCTCAGTTCATGAGGCTGCAAGGGAAGAGGAACAGAGGTAAAGAGGAGGTGAAGTTTCTAGAGATCAAAGGAGATGACCAGCTGAGTGGAAACCAGCAGTGGATGACCAAGAGCGTGTCGGAGGAGAAGCAGAACCGGCAGTCCTTCAGCAAGGTGACCTGATTCTAACTTTTTGCATCAAAGGCATTCAAACTGTGAAGGATGCTTATACGTACATTTTCAGGCATTTTTTCTCAGCTTCTGGGATGTATAGGAATTGTGTTTGAACTTTTGCTCAATATTGATTCAGAACACTAGAAGCCATGAAATTTTGTTGTAGCAAAATCCAAAAATATTTCCTGGCAGGATTCCCGTTTGTTAACATTCACAGAGAAGGAAACGGTTCTGGTGAGGGGACTCCTGAGGTTTCAAAACAAACAAAATCAAATAAATAAATTACAACATATTCAACTTAAAATCTGTGTTTGTTTGTTTTTTTTCAATTTCTGCAGAAAAAAGGAGAACAGCCTACAGGACAACAGCGACGCAAGCATCAGATTACATATCTCATTCACCAGGTGAGTGCAACTTCATATTGGATTATAATGTTGTAATTGGGTTCCAAAACTCATCGAGACTTGTAAACCTTAAAGTCGACAGGGCTAGCCAGATGCTCGTTTTTCTTCTGCAAACTCTGGATCACCAGGCAGTCGGCCACCAGGCATTAGAGTTGTTTTGACACCAGAAGAGGGTGTGATACAAAGAGGAAGGTAGCCATTGATGTAACTAAAAGCAATCCAAATAGCCAAGAGCTTCTAGTGCCAGCCTGACTTCAGAGGTTTTTATTCAGAAGGTGATAAAGAGCAGGATGCAGTCAGGGTTTCTCTACCAGCTCAGCGAGTGTGACACGCCTGCACACGTTTAGCTCCAGATTGTAGGCCGCCATGCTGATGTTTGCACTGTGCAAACCTAAGCTTTTTAGTTGATTATTTTATGTCTAGGGGGGTTATACAGTCAGCTGACTAAAGAGCTGTACTATGAGCCAACAGAAGATGTTCAAACAAGCTAAAAGTGTGCTGTAGCTACTGTTTCTCCAGTGGTTTCTTATTAATGTTTCAGAGCTCCTGGCAGTTTAATCGTGTCGGGTGTTTTTCTGTCACTGACCAGGCTTTGATTTTTTACATGCCACAGATGGTATTCAAAGTCTAGGGATAAGGACACAGGATGGCTATTTATTTGCATGAAGCTGGATGTTGTTCAGAGCTCATATTCGTCCTTTCACTCCCTCAGGCTTTTGCTATCTCAAAACCAAGCACTGAAATATATCACCCTCAAAATGAGATCTGGCATTTTCCTTTTTAAAATGTGTTTATAAAAGTAATCAAAATATATATAGACTTCAAATCAATGTCCTCTGATATGTCCGTTTTTATCACTTGTCTATGAAAAGCTGACCAGGAGTTCTGCTGGATGTTTTTTTCTTTCTTTCACAGGCAAAGGAGCGTGAGTTGGAACTGAAGAATAATTGGGCGGATAACAAGCTAACCCGCCGGCAGACACAGGCAAAATACGGTTTCTAAATGTCATACTGTGGACTCTTACAGACATGATGAAACTCCACTCCGAATTTAGAGTAGAGCTGTCCAGATTTCCCAGAACAACCGGACGTGTTTAGAGAGAAACTATATGAACCCTCATTCAGATTTTTTCCCCTCCCCTCCCTCTTACCCTCCCCTCCTGTATTTGTGTTAAAATGTTCTTTTGGTCAGCTGTTTTATAAGGTGTTATACTTCCTCTTACATATAGGTGCTGTACCTACATTACAATGTCATGTTTTTAAGGTACCTCTGGCCAGGGAATATGTCACGTGACCCTGAAGTGGCCAATATAAACGCTCTCCTTTGAATGCGTATGTTTCTTTTCATACAGTAGACTTTGATGTATGAACCCTCTTTTTTTGTGTTAAATGACTCAACAAAAACATGTTTGGTTCTTCAGCAATCATCCGAGGGTAAGTCAAATACTCTTGTTCATAAGCAGAAATGAACTGGAGTCATGTAAGAAACCCTGAATCAACAACTTCAAAATATAGAGAATATTTCAGGTTTTACATGTCTGTTTTTGTGAAAGATGTTTCAACTTTTAATTGGGGTTTTTTTCTCCAGATTTTTAACGTCAGAATTTCAGCTGTCGAGTTAAAAGTTCAATTAATGAATCGTAAGGGAACCAAACATGTATTTCCTGTGTTTGAGAGTCTGATAGTTCTGAAGCTACCATCTGATTTTTAACATCAGTTTTAACCTGATTGCATCCATTACACATCTTAAAAGTCCTGTTGTTTTTTCTGGAGTCCCAATTACTGATTTTTTTTAATCACCTTTCATATTGGTTCAAATGGTGAAATCCTGCAAAACGTCTGACTTTTAGAACAATGCTTTCTCTTATAAGGCTGTAGATATTAATCTTGTTTTAACTTTTTCTTTATAAAAGAAAATTAGCCTTTTAAATAAATGCCCGTTATTTAAGTACTGACACTTCATCTTCCACTCTCTTCGTGTAGGAAATAGAACATCAATGTGTACTCATGAGCCAGGTTGCCTATTTGTAAAATATGTCATCATTACACATGAGCTAACGGAGGGCTCTAATAGTAAAATAAATGGCTACATGTGGAGTTAGCTCTATAGCTGTAACTTTACCAAAACACTTAAATACATCTGATGTTTGGCAAACACACCAGCAGGGGGCTCAGCATGAATGAATGATTGTTTCTTGTGTGTCTAGCATCTTAACATTTTTTTAAAATTAGTCGGACGTTGGCAGCACTCCACAAATACTTTAAGTTGCCGTGTAATAAACAGCATCATCTTTGGCAGTTTCCAAAAAACCTTCATTTAACAACACCGTTAACACTGGGCTCTTTATATGCATGTATAATAAGTTTTACAGACAAACAAACTAGTTCTGCAGATATCTTCTTGTGTAGTCCTTTAATCTTTTTTCGGGCTGTCACTTGGTGGTGCTGTTGTGTCTTGGTTTGTCGGTGTTTCTACAGCTGCTGAGGCTTCTGCTGAAGCTGAATCTTCGCTCACTTGACTCTCAGAGTCTTTAACTGCAGCGTCAGAAACAGCCTGTGCTGTAGCTTCCTGCTCATCAGCAGGCTCTGAGACTTGTTCCTCTTCCAGCTGCAGCTTTTGTGCTTTCAGCTGACGTTTGTAACTTGCAGACTGGTCTTCATATGGAACCACTGACAAAGGGATGCGAACTTTGTCTATCCCGTTTACCTGAGAGAGAAAAAAAAATATATGCTGTTAGGTCTTTGGAGAGCAACAGCCAAAAGTGCTCTTGGGATAAAAGAAGGCTCAAGGTAAACAGCAGAAGAAAAAATGTTTTCAATTTGTTATATGCAGGGTTTGTCCTGCATAGAGGATTCTTTGGCGCACCCCCCAAAAAAAGAAGATTATTCTAATTGCAATTCCCTTTTGAATTGCAACATATCAAACAACTGTTGAACAAGCAGAACATAAACTTAAGTACAACTTCTCTGACTTCCAGCAGTCAACTCCCCTCTCATCCAATTACACATGCAGTTTGTTTGTTTTGACTGGGTCTGGACGGCGCTCCGCTGACACCCTCCAAGCGTCAAATGTCGGTAGATTTCCCATTATGAAATGGTCCGAAATAAAAGGAAAATGCAAACATTTCTATCAAGTAAGCTTACACTGACTTATAGCCTTTACTGTAGTATATGGACTGATCATGATTACTGTTGTGCGCAGTGACCCCTAAAAGGCATATTGTGAGCCAGGGAAAACCCTGATATATATGTAGCTAAGGGATTTTACAAGCTTTTTTTTCCTTACCAAAAACAGTATACCTACAAGGTCAAACACAACTAAACCATTTCTAATAGTTTGAAATTGATTTCTACTAACTTTTAAATAAGGTACCCACAGCATGGGTATTCACTTACTGCTGATAAGTGATGCACGTGTTGCATTAAAACAGAAAATTCTTACCGTTACTTCACACCAGTAGTCGCCCACTTCCTTCACTGAATCGAATGGAAGACTCAACGCCTGAGGTGGAACTACAACTCCCAGCTGAGGAAAACATTTTGAAAGGTCAATTACTGAACGTTCAGCAGAAACTTGAATTAGTTAAAGTTGTAGAAAATGAGATTTTAAGGATGAATCAATTTAAGGGGGAGGGGGGAGGGGATCCACCTTCTTGAGAAACTGTCGGCACACAACTTCTTTATGGACCTGGAACTCATCAGAGGGCATCTGGTTTATCTTCAGATGGGAGCTTTTAAGGTACTCCACTGTCTGTAAAGAAAACAAAAAAAAACAATCCCTGATGTTTCTCTTCTCATGTGTTAGTGACTTATCTCTCAGGTTCATCACTTCAGAGGGGGAAAGACAAACTCACCAACTGTCCAGTACGCGTTTGCACTCTTTCCTCTGGCTTTCCTTCTCGTAGAAGCTGTTGGTGAAAAAGGTGACGGAGTGAATAACTACACGTGTGAGGGTAAAAAGATGACAGTAGTAAAAAGCGATACACACTCTGATCTCCTCAGCAAACATCTGCTTGTTCTCTGGTGATGGATACACTGCGAGGCCTTCGGACAGCAGCTTATTTCTGCCAACAGACTTTTTCACAAACACAGAGTCTCCTCGACCACCGAGCTCTGGCAGAACAAACACAAGTTGTTGTTTTTTTAATCACACAAAGAGTTTCATTAAAGCACTGAATACTCTGATCTCATGAACTGGAGACTGGAGAGGCTCACTGGGAACGGTCTGCGTCAGGATGAGCTCCATCTTTTCCTTGGGAAGGTGTTTGGTGTCTTCAACCAGCTTGTAGATTCTGTGTCTTCGGGGATGAAGCCTCGGAGGACTGCCAACTTTAGATAAAGGCACCTGCCACCAGCGCTCCACCACAACTGTGTTCTGAGGAGAAATCAAGCACACACTTTAATATGTGCTGTCATGTCCTTAAAAACGAAGGGAGGGTTACAGACACCTTCGGCAAGCTTTCATGGATGTAACATAGAAGCTGTCTTTTTGTGTATCTTTAAAAAGGTAATGCAAGTTTATTTACAGAGAACCATTCATACATAAAGCAATTAAAAACTCTTTACAAAGTTAAAAACAGCATTAAGATCCTCAATAAGCTAAAATTTGATATGAAAATACAAAATATAAAATTATAAAACGAGGCCTAAGTGGACGTTCTTTTTTCTATATAACACATCTAATGACCACTACTTGTTACAGCCTACAAAACAATCTTTATGGAAAATATATACAAAAAAACTGAGATTCATACAGGTATATTTGAAGTTTGTTTTTTTATGACCATTAAGGCCTGTTAGAAAAACAACAATAATCTTTAGTCATTAGTATTTGTTTCCCTCTTCTACTGACACTGGATGGAAACATGTGTTGTAGCTGATGAAAAGTAGATAATGTGTCAGGAAACATACTGTACGTTTAGTTTATTTGTACATTTTTTGAAAGAAGAGTCAAACAGAAAAATAAAACACATGTGCAGGTGAGGTAGAAACCCATGAGGGCTTATCTCAAAACCTCAATTTAAGAGATTAAACTAAGTTAAAATAAAATACAGTAAAAATAACAAAATAAGACTATTTACTATCACAAATAAAATTTACCCAATTGAAAATTACATACAAACATTGAAAACATAAAAAAGAGCAAAACAGGACATACAGTATGTAGACAATCTAACAAAATCAGGACAATTCACTATTCACTACAAATCTGACATCAACACATTTCTGAGTCTGAATTTGTATCTAGAAAAAGACAAAAAATCATCAAGTAAATAAAGATGTGTGTTCCATAATTTGACTCCACAGTATCTTATTGAGTCCTCGAGATGTCCAACACATTGGTTGGTATAAGTTATTGGTTTGTCTATGTAGCAATAGTTCACTTGACAATTAAAAATTAAAAATGCTTTAAAGCTTTCTGGCAAAGTTTGCACTCATGTATTTAACTTTAAAAAATAAAGCTACTTACTTGAAGAATATTAATATCAATATGTTACACTTCAGAAAGACGTGTAACCTTAGTCCTACAAATAAGTACAATAGAGGGTCAATATGGTTTGCCATGTTCTTTTTTTGTCGTATTTTATGTTTCTTTCATTTTATTTTATGAAAACATGTTTGGGAAAAATATTTCAACCTATCAGTCAATGTTTGGAATCACTTAAAGAAAAGAACAACACTCAGGTTGAAGGATTCAATGTTTGGATTTGTTGTGTCTCTTTTCTATCACTTTAACATGAAGAACTCTGTCTCTGTGATTAATCCTGCCACTTTATGACCTTCTTGTAGTACATGTTAAGATACACGTTAAGATACACAGCTTCTTCATACTACAGCACCATGATTCATGTTAAGGGTTATACTGAACGTTAATCCACAGCCTCATCTGAGACACATTAAACTGAGACTTGAGAATCATTTCTGGAACAAAGCGTACAGGCTTCAGTTTAAATTATTATTATTATTATTATTCAATTTAAATGTTGACAGACTGACCTGAGCAGGAGTCAGGGAGAAACTCCTGAGAGCTGCAGGGAGGATGAGCAGATCCTGAAGGACGCGTCGGCCGGAGCTCCACATGTTTCTGTGTTAACTCAACCAAACAGTCTCTACCCCGCTTTATTATCGACACACAAATACAAAGAAAAGACTCAATGCAGCTTTTTATGGAATGCACCTCCACTTTCAAATAACCAGCTGTAACCTGTCAGAGAGCTCAGCATGCATTTTAGCCAGAAGCTAACTATCGTCGATTGTGTGTGACTATAAGGACCCAACAAGCTGGGATAGGTGTCCTCAAAGGAGCCTGAATTAAAAGCTACCCTTGAAAATATCTGTGCCTGATTAGAGTTCACAGTCTGAGGATAATCCTGAGCAGGAGCAGAATCAGTAAATAGTTCCACTCTTGTCAAACTATTTGTTACAATGAATTTGTTTAACATTTAAAAAACAAAAGCAAAGGTTTAAATTACATATCAGAGTGTAGTGTGAAGCCTATCTGCATACAAAAGGTTTTTGTTTCATATAAAGGTTTTTTTTGTGTGCAAACATTCCCATGTTTGAGCCTCATTTTGTTGATCACTGTCAAAGCAGAAGATAGAGACTATAATCAAAGTCAGCTTTTCTTTATTTAAAGTGGCAAAACTCAAGTATTAGCTGCCAATGAACAAGGCTATCTTACGAAGTATTTTCTCAAACACTAAGATTTGGGTGTAAACAGGAAGTACATGATGACACATAGTTGTTCTGTTTCAGCAGACTAGCTCTATACAGTGATCTGTCGGAAACAACTAGTCTAGTTAAAATGGACAGAGCTGATAGACGGAAAAAAGACAAATACACAAAATGAATAAAATGTTACAAAAATAAAACTCAAGTCTTGAGTGACTCAAGGCACCGACTCAAGTGTTAACAGGAAACATTCAGAGATAACAATCTTGTAGCAATTTACATCTTTGTGCACACACTGTACTATGAAAATGAACAAAAACCAACATTAATACAATAATGAAAAGAATCCTGAGCAGGAGCCGAATCAGTCAAATATTCCACTCTTGTCAAACTATTTGTTGCGATGAATTTGTTTAACATTTAAAAAAACAAAAACAAAGGTTTAAATCACACATCACCAGCAGCAGAAGAATCCCTAGTTAGACCATAGAAAGAGCTGCGGTTGGGTATCAACCTGTGTCTTACTGTGACAGTCCCACAGCATGCCAGCAGAGCGACGCAACAACCACAGATGAATGTACAAGCTATAGCGACCCACACCAGGGTAGTGAAAATGAAGGCAATCTGGTAGGTTGTCTTGTGGCAGTACAGAGCTCCACGTGTGTAGTTGGGGGGGTATATAGGATAAACCCAGCAGGTGCCTGCAGGGCAACATTTCAGAACATCTTCATTTATTCTGAATAACAACTACACAAAACAACCAAACATTTAAAGCTTTATTGCATGCTACTTTCAGATTTCAGTATCTAACCTGCGATGAACCAGGCCAAATTGAAGAGGTGCAGGAGGGTCATGCAGGACGTTATCAGGATGGAGGTGCAGCTGTTCCTCTCCCATCTCTTGCTGAAGGAGGTCAGAGTTAGAGAGAGGATGCTGGTCACTCCAAACACAATCAGGTAGATGGGGATGTTGGGCTGAAGTGGACAGTTGTGCAGATGTGTAGCCCCTATCATGAACAGTATCAAGAACCAGAAAAAATGTGAAGTGGGATAGAAGGAAGACTCGCAGTAAAAACACAAGATCTAAAATATTATAGTGATCAAAATAATATAAACCCACCAAGAGCAATGGAGGCTATCATAGCCACCCACCACATAATGTTGATCAGAACTACAAAAAAATAGAAGAAAGACAGAGTCAATGATTGGTATGGAGTTTTAAAAAAGGCAGACTTGAGTTTAAAGGAGAACAGACTTCTCACCTACTGTTGAAATCAAAACGGCGCTTTGAGGCCTGAATTCAACCTGTTGAGACGCTTCCATATCTGCAGTGAATAAAAATGTACACTTGTCACAATTATACACTGACATTCACAGGAGGAGCATCTGCAGCACAATGCTTACACTGTACCTGTTTATCTTTGATCCGAGGCACTTTGACGCCTTTTTTCTTCTTCCAGTATTCACCAAGTGAGCGTAGCGCTATGCATGAGTCGTCACCTATCTTTAACAAAGTCTCTCAACTCTAACATCATTTGCTGTTTGGACAGGATGTGGACACATTTTGTCACAAGCCCACATTACAACAACTGTTTCGCAACACTGTGCATTTTAACAAGGAGGAAATCATGATAAAAATCAAACTCTGTTATCTGACTGATCATTCTGCATGCAAAGTGAGTTTTTTTAACCACACAACCAATCACATGTTCTCACGTGTTAGCGATAGCAAACCATACTTCTTTTAAATGTAACACTTTGCAATTCATTAAAGTAAATTAAAAGTGATACTGGGAAAGCACGGGGCAAAATGAGGGATAGTCAGGTGTAGAAAAGACAAGGGAATGCATTTGCCTTTGCAGAGTAAACACTGTGTTATCAGAACTCATTAGACACACAGGGAGCGTTTATACAATTTCTTTCAATGCAGCTGCTTGTGGTTGATAATGATTTTGCTTTCCATTCAGCTATTAGTAGATATGCAATACTGCTGAAATAAATGATGCAAAATACTCAAAAGATTTCTAAAAAAGGGTCTCATATTTATTATTGATCAAACCTTCAAATAGAAACTGCATGTCGGAAAGTAAGACAGAAATCCAGCTGTGATGTGAACTGAACCATCTTGAAAGAGGACTTCTAAGATTCAGTATTGCACAACTTTAAAAGTGTTGGGACTTGCAAAAGAAAGATGGCTTCTGTTGATGTCAAATTAAAGGATACTCAGTTGTTAAATGTTGCACTTCTGTTACCTTGTTCCAGTTTTTTAAAGCATCTCAATCCTTGCAACAGAAACATATATTTTGTCTTGTTTTACGGAAACCTTTCTTCCTAATCAAAAGCTACATTACCAAAAATGCAACTGGCCCGTCCACAGTTGAAAGATTCTAGCAGTGTGGTAGTTGTTGCTTGTGTCGTCTTGAGCAGCTAGCCTCAAGCAGAAGAGAGAAGTTTTCTTCTTTTTTTCCAAACACAGCCCAAACAAAAAACTGCCTCAAGTGATAGAAAGTAAAGAGATCACTTGGGGCAGTGTTTGAGCCTCTTGAAGGAGAAACTCAAGACTTGTAAATGGCTGTTTAGAAGAGGTGAAGGTCCATTTAATAGTGTAGAGGTAACATTTCATTATTTATCAATGTTTAAAGGCAACAGCATACCATGCAAAGATAGTAGGGGAAACTATCCGTCCGTCTGATAGATTAAGAATGAAGCAGGCAGCTGCAGATTTGAAAAAAGCTATGTTACAGTTGAAGTGAGTTTGTGATGCAAAGGTTGACACTTGTTTTCTACCAGGCAGCTGTTGACACAAACAACAAGCACACCCAAGATGTTGCACTGCCACCCTGTGTCAAAGAAATGTGACTGCTTCCATCCACTCAACAAACCAAAAAGCTTTGTAAAGTCAGCAATACACTTCCAGATTATTGTTGTTTTTCTGTATCAATTGACTTCACTAAAGGTTCCTAATGCTCTCTCTGACGATGTTGATTGTCCAAATGTCTCAAAGCAGCAATTAAAACACACTTTGAAAGTTTAAACAGCAGTTTATTCCTGCAGAAAACTTCATTCATTTTGTGTACAGTATCTTTGGTTGCATCTTTAACTCACTGCAGTGATTTTGGCTCAGACGTTTACAGCTTTATTTTTCATCATCTTCTTTCTTAGTGAAGAAATTCTATATTTTAAACTTAACTTGTTAGAGACTGAGTCAAAGGCCTGTCTTCTCTTGATGACCTCTTTTAGCTGGAAATCGATGATCATTTGAATCATGGGAGATGCAGGAAAGTCCATGCAAATGATTCCAAGCCTCTGGTTCAGATCAGTCTTGGCCCTCAGGTAGTCGTACAGCTGCGGGTTTACGCGCTGAGCGACGGCTCTGGGGTACGCGAACACACCGGCCCCACTGCTGAAGGTGAGAAAAACCTGGCCTTTGTTTCCTGTGGGTGCAGCTTCCAGGTGATCATAGACACTCTGCCATTTCTCCTCCACATGAAGGAGTGTTGGAACCTATGAGGAAAGTTCAATGATTTAAAAGCTTGATTTTTAGTTGAAACAAATTTAAGAGTTAGTCTTCTGTGTGCACCCACTTTCATTTGTTTTAAGGCTTAATATGCGATTTTTTTTGATCCAATAAACAACTTGCGCTGCATTGTTGTGTTAGCATGCTAGTGCTAGCAATCTTTATTATGCTCGTATCTTCACACTGCATGTAAATTTACCTGAAATGAGCGTGATCTAGAAACACAGTTAAGCAGTGAGTACAGTATGTTATTCTTCTTTTCTCTAGTCCCTCAATTAAACAACTTTTATACACGAGGGGAGGAGTCAGCCGGCCGTCCTGGCGATGTAAACAAAGTGAAGATAGGACTCTGAAAACTCTGAAAACGTCACAGACAGTGGGACTCGGGTGTTACACCCATTGTAGACAGTCATGACTCACAGAGTTATTTTCAGAGGATATACTTGATTTATATTACTTTTAAGTGTGAAAAATCGCAAATTAAGCCTTTAAATCCTTTTCATGATGTGAAGGAGGCACCTCAAACTCAATCAGCTAAATCCTTCTACTTATGTCCCAATCAGTTCATTTTGTAACATCTGGCAACTTTTCTGCTTCTTTCCTTCCTTCATGTAAGTACTAGTTTATTAATGCAAGTCTTAACCAAAATAAACTTCATTTTCCTACCTTCCAGTCATCTGCTATGTCCAGAGAACCGTAGCGCATCCCCAGATCTGGTCCAGAAAAGTCTTGCAGGATGATGAGCTTCCCTCGGCTTCTGCCATGGTGGGCACAAGCCGGCTGTGCCACAGCAGGTCCCAGTGGGCGTAGCGGTGGATGTGGTCGACCACAGCTCCGTAGATGTCATACGTCTCACTGAACTCCTCCTTCACCCTCATCAGCACTGTCTCACTCTGGAACTCTTGAAGGAACTCAGCCACACCCTCCAGCACGTGTCCAAAGTGCGCCCGCTGATAAGACACCCCGTGGTGGATGGTGAGGTTCCCTTTGACATGACGGACCCTGACGTCCAGGAAGCGGACACCTGC